TAAGTAGGATTACTTGGGCGTTCTGCTTAAAGCTGAATATTCTCTTTGTTTAATGGTAAGCTTTGGTAGTTCATTCGTTATGGATGCCTAAATTATTCGGTCCACTTGATCTTTCCTCAGGCATTCCTGTTCAACAAGCCCTCCATGATGCGTACACGGCTCATAGGCCATTATTTGTTGAAGAGTGCCACCTAGTGTTTGAATGGAGACCAGAGTGGAGGTCTATTACTGAGCCAGAAACATCTATCCATCTTATTCATCCCTGTGATCTAGAGTGATAAATAAATTGGATAGCTAACATTAGTGATGTAGCACACACCTCAATAGGTCATATGATAAAGCAGTAATTCACCTGAAGGATTAGCCAGCTACTATAAGGGGAACAAAGCCCACCTTCACTTTCAAAATTTACTTCCACCATCAAGATACATCATCAGAAAGGGGCTTTTCTAGTCTCTAAACCAGGAGACCTTGCTGTAGAACAGTGGTCACCAACCCTCCTCCTGGAGATCAACGTTCCTGCATCTAACAGGTTTCAGCTCCACAAATCTAAATCTAATGTGTCTGATCCAGCCAGAAAAGAACTTCATAAAGAAGTTCATTAGCTGGAGCAAGTGTGGCAGATTGTGGCTGGAACAAGACTCAGCAAGGACCAGGACTGGTGACCACTGCTTTAGAAACTGCTGTAACGACTGTAAAAGGCAGGTATGTATTGTATGTTTACAATAGACACAGTAATGTTTTTTCATTTTGGCCATTTGTGGGTTTTTTTTAAAAAGAATAATGGAGCCACATTCCGACTTGAGTGTTTCAGTGAGAAAGGGTTTCATAGGTTGACCAATATTTAAATTGTTCTTTCTTGGAAATGTGTTCCATATGATGTATAGATCAAATACAGATATTTAGATTTGTATGACTCAAATACATTGTCATTTTCATGTCAAACAATCCATTGTTAAAACCCCAAAAACCATAAACAGTAGCTTTTCCAGAGGCTGACACATCGGAGCAAGTTTTGTATTGACATACAAAGGATTAGCTTTTGATTTTAGTACAAAAACATATATAGAATACATATGAAAATTACAATTATTAAGGAAGTCAAATCTTACAAACAGCCATAACCATGACTATGGCCTACTGACACATTAATGTCACCAAAAACATGCTGTCTTGAATACTGACAAATGTCCAAAAACTGCCAGCCAAAATTAAAGAGTCTATATCAGAACAAATAGAAAATTTAATTACTGTAAAATGAGATGTTATTCAAAAGTAATCTGTTTTTTTCTTTAATCTGAAATGTCCAAAACACTCTAGCACCAAAGTACTGCTAGGGTTTCTTTCTTAAAGCTACAGTCAGGAACTGTAAAAACGCTTCTACTCCACCACACTGAAAATTGCATAGTGTGGACTTTGCAAACATGCATATGCATAATATGTATGAGGCAAATGTACATTTTATACATTTTATCTGACTTCATTCAGACGTCCCAGCTGGACTGATACATCGTTTTAACACATCTTTAACGTACCGGATTAGTGTGCATTAACACAAAAAAAAATTAAATCAAAACAGATTGTTGGGTCTGAGTGTCAGGATAAGTACACGATTAAGAAATTCAGTGTCTGAATGGCACATAAGAACTCTCAGACCTGACATTATATTACATTACATTTAAAAACACCTTTTAAAAATCACTCACAGCATTTACACAAAACAACAAACAAAAAAGTGCATTCCTAGGCCTGGGTCTTCTCAACTCCAGAGCTAGCTAAGGCCAATATCTTATCCTCAGATCCTGCAGGAATTGAGGGAAAAAATAATGGTTAATACAGTAAAACCAAACCAAAGTGTGTTTCAAATTTTTTTTCCTAACAATTCGAATCCTGACAGATTTCATAAGGAAAATCTTTGCCTTCAAATGCAACCAAACAAAGCCTGTCTAATCAATTTCACAAGGAAATAATGTGCCAGACTATGAGACCTGCCTGCATGTGTATGATAAAGTGAGCAGTGGCCACTCACCCAAGTTCGCAGTAACCTTCTCAAACTGGCTGAGAGTGGCGCTGGCATTTACTGCCAGAAAAGCTTCATCCTCAGCTGTAAGCTGTGATTTCAAAAGAATATAAAATGTAAGGTGAGGCTGGACAATTAAGGAATATAAATATAAAACTAAAAGTAAAAGAAAAATCATATCAATAATAATATTAATAATAAGAATAATAATAGTTGTATATACAATATGTATAATGTAAATTTAAATATTATAAATCAGACACCACTATATGTAGGTTTTATTTAATTGGTTATTAAACTATAAATATTATATAGTAGAATAATATAATGTAAGTCAAATTGTGTGTGTATATTGTTTGTGTTTTATATGTGTGTGTATATAAACTGTTATATAATGTTAAACACTAATAAACTGAAAATGGAAATAGTAACATATGGTCCTTTTTTAAATGTCAAAATATTTATTGAATTAAGACACCACCATATTGTATCAAATCCAATTATGAATTTTGTGTTTTGGTGTTCACATATCATAGGGAGATAGTCCATGTGTGAAAAACAGGCCCCTCACCTTCTCCCCCAGCTTTCTTAGAGCTGTGAGGATCTCCACTTTCTGCTGAGTGTACTGATCTCTAGGGAGTTTCCCCACCATCACATCACGATCCATCTAAAAGCAAAGTGCAGCAACATCATCTGCATTAAAAGCATTGGCCCAGCCGCATTCTTTAGACTACATCTACATCTATACCTATATATAAATACCTCTGCTAGTCTTGTCCTTAACTGACCAGGCTGCTTCTTAGCAAACAATCGAATAACTTCAGGGGTCTTAAATGCTTGGCTGATGGCTGCTTGGATAGCCTGATGGAAAAAAGTAAGAAAGTTAAAATGCATGTCCCCAGCAGTCACAATCACACGCACTGGCTTTTTCTCTTTCTGTTCCATCTTAAGCCAAACTGGCCACAGAAGTCTGCATTCAAACGTCTTACCAACTGCATTCCTCCTAATTCATCAACCAGGGTCATGTTCCCTGACATGAGCTTCTTCAGTGATTCATTGAACTCACTCAGCTGCTCCAACGTCTCTTTTTTGGTCTCTTCATATTCCTCATCGTCAAGCTCTTCTCTGGAATGGAAAATACGTAAAGCAGTTTTTCCACATATAGTGCTTGACAAGTTGGTTAAACACATTTCTGAAAATCCTCTTTTCATTAAGGTCATTTTAGATCTTAGTGTTCAAAGGTATACTCGCTCTACCACATTGCAATGGTGTTTATGGAAAACAGCAATATGTGGGAAAGCAAGTTAACCATTGCACTTGCAATGCAAAGTAATGCAATATGACAGATAACCCGACTGACAGCTGTACCTGCACTCCTCTAAATCTTGCAATTGCTGCATGAGTCGGTCCAGTTGCTCCTCCATGTTCTGTTTTAGTTTGCCTGTTTCTGATTTCCCCCGAGAGGCCATCCTGGGTACCTTTAATCCACAGACAGCGGACAAATTAAAGGTAAAAAAAATGTAATACATTTAAAGGAGAAACATAAGTACAGATGCCTCCAGGTGCAAAAACTACATGCACTGATCTACAGAGACATGGAAAAAGTGATACAGTCAGATGGATCTTGCGTCACCATATTCTCCACAAGTGGGAGAATGCATGTGCAGCATACACCATGGCTACTGTACAGTACATGTGGGGGCATTTTGCTGGCATGGTTTGGGTTCACATGTCCCAGTAGAAGGAAGGATCACTGAAAATCAATGCAAAGTAATTCTGACTGATCGCCTTTATGGTATGATGAAACAGTTACATCCTGATGTGAGTGGTCTCTTCCAAGATGACAGTGCCCCTATCCACAGATCAGAAAGGGCTACTGAATGGTCTTTATGAGTATGACAATGATCATAAATCATATGCTCTGGCCTTCACAGCCACCAGATCTCAACACAACTGAACACGTATGGGAGATTTTGGACCAACAATGTTATCAAAACACCATTTCAGGGAACATCTTCTGGAATAATGATGTTCCATGACTCCAGTACAGTTTTAGAGACTTGCAGAATTCATGACAAGGTGCAATGAAGCTGTTCTGGCAGCTCGTGGTGTCCCAACACCTTACTAAGGTATTATATGCTGTTTTAACCTTTAACATGGCACCCTTTTGTACATGAAGAGAATGTCCTAAAATGAATTAACCATAGAGAGCTGAGGATTTTAAGCTTCAATCTCGTTATATCGAGCAGGGCAGTGGAACAGCCCCCAGCTTTTAACTACATGCCATGAATATCTAGAGCTGTCTGTAGAACATAACAGTTAATCAGTACAGTGCAACTCCCCATTACTTCTGTGGCTAGCTAGCATCTGTCAAAAGGGAGGGGTCGTTCCTCTGACTAATGGATAGCTGCTAACGGCCTCCAGGGGTGTGTTTACGTCCTAAAGGACTAGTAACCCCAAATTACGTTTTTAGTTGTAAAATGTAGAGTGTCTTTTCGTCATTTTGCCTTAGTAAGTGTGCTAAAGCTAATCTGACGGGGCTGAAGAACAACAACCTGAATTCAGCTTCGCGCTACTCTGCGCACCTTACTAACCTAGCAAGCTAACAAGGTACAGATTACAGTATTTATTTTCTAAGTTGTCATCATTTTATGGTGTAATAAAAACGTTCTCCTCACCAATTCGCTTTCCCAAGGTAAGAGTCTGCGTATGTACACGAAAACGAGTCAGAAATTAAGAAAGTTGCTTTTTCAAGATGGGTTACACTTCAGCCTGCCTCTGAACAAAGCCCGCCCTGCGCAATCCCTACGCCGTATTGAGTCTCTCAAACAAAACGGTAGCGTATAGGCTTTTGTTATTTACACGACTGAATCCTCCGTGTTTTTCACTCATAAGTAGAGACAAATCTCACTAACACAGTAAAGCTCGTTGTTAAAGTCACTGCCTTACATATCAACGTGTATCGTTGTTCGTGGTTGAGGTGTGCATACAAGCCAATCAGCGACAGCCTTACTGAAAAAAGAACCAATAGCCACTTCGCTTAGAAGATCATGACAGGCGTGTAGCAGCTGTTTTGGTAAGTCATGGGGAAAGTAGACTGTAGAGTGTAGAGAGTAATGTGACAGATTTCGTGTGTAATCAGGTTTATTATGTATGCAAGTTACATCCACACAGCTGTTCAGAGGCAGTGCTAACACAGAAGTGTCAGCAGCACGCGCTTCTGTAGTTGTAGTTTGTGAATGATCGGCTCCTCCTTGTAAATTATTGCAGCAGCGAACTTTGAGAAATGAATAAGCAAAGGCCAGCAGATCTGATCAGACTGATGTGGTTAATCGTGTCCAGGTCAGGGTAATGTGTGTCAGGCAAAGCTCCACACACTGGATTAACCCTGCTGGAAAAAATCATTAAGACCATTACAGGTTTCTGGTGATTTCTTGTGGTGTCCAGTAGTCACATGGTGTTTTGTGTCTCCAGTGGTTTAACAGGTGGCCTGTGTTTGATTCCAGATGCATTTGATGGTTTCCTAATGGGATCTATAGATGTCCTACATGAAACCTGTAGTCTCTGGTAACCATTAAGCCAATTCCCATTAGAAAGCAGACCCATCAGGTTTTAAGCCTAATATTTCAATTTTTGTTTTTTTGCAGGGAGGTAACAGGTCCAGGAGGAACATACTGATAATCCTGCAGATTAAACGGACACTCTGGCCAAAATGAGAAACATTTCCAGTATAAATATTAGGAAAACACCCTTCTAATGCTGCATCTTGAAGGTGGGAAAACTACTTTAGGGTGGACCTTTTGGGGGTGGGCTGTTGTTTTGTGTCCGTACCTGCCCTGCTGAAAAAGACAATTGGAGCCATTTGGGTTAAAACCTGATGGTTTTCTAATGGGAACTGGCTTAAAGGTTAGAGACGTTACGTTTCTTTGGACCACATCATCCATTACAGCAGCACAAAGTATAGTAAAGAGCAAACATATTGTCATGCGCTATTATACAGATGCATAAATAGGAGAAGACATAAAGATATATAATAAAATATACTAAGACAACCATAAAATATAACGTGCAGTGTGAGAATGAGTAAGTAAAATCGCATTAATATTATGCATTTGACAATGCAGTGGTGCATGTCACGTCCAGTGAATCAGTCCAAGGTCCATCAGGAAAGCACAAAATACCAATCCTGACTTTAGAAGACTACCAGGGACCAACAAAAACTTTTAGTGGTTTCTGTGATGTTTGACTGTCATCAAATCATCGTTACAATGTAGAGAATGGATTATTCAAACACCTGAGTTGGCTTTTTAAATGAGGAGGGCAAGCTAAAAGCTAGAATTAGCAAGGTAGCTGGCTGTCTAGATACTTTAGTTTGGCTCCTCTCTCACTGAAAGGGTAAAAAGCTTGTCTTTGCTGTACATTGTGTGCTGAACAAAGATAGAATCACTGTTTTGTGTACAATTTACTTCAGCAATCAAGATTTAAACTAATGGGTAGACATGGTTGTATTTAGTAGCCTGTAGCTAATTGGTTAGGCCAGCACTAGGTTGACACCACAGGGATTCCCAAAAGTTGTGTGATTATTTGTTTAAGACATGCGAGATGAGGGAACACTGATGAACGAAAACAGAAAACAATATAAAATCAGGAATTCTGCCAAAACGATGAGGCTGATGTATCCAATGCTGCACTGTAGAACAATGCAGACCACAATAAAATACCATTGAAGTTTAATTTTAGGCCAGAATGCCTCTTTAAAGGCAGGACTAATTCAATCAAGACGTGGAATCCTTGGATTCTCTTTGCATTGCTAAGACTGCCTGATAGGATTTCATATCATAAGTATGACTGTTCCAATGTTATGTCCAAAAGTTTGTAGATACCTCCCCATTCAACATTTCTTCCAAAATCAAAGGTAACGATAGATAGTTTTGTCCCTCTTTGCTCAGCCGTTACTCTTCTGGGAAGTCTCTACATTAGATGTTGGAACGTTGCTGTGAGCATAAACAACACTCCATCTCCTCTTAAAGGTATTGGATGGAGCTCCATCAGTCCAGAGAATGCACTTCCACTGCTCCTCAACCCAATGCTGGGGGGCTTTATACCCCTCTAGCTGACGCTTGGTATTGGGCAAGGTGACCTTCAGAGAGATCCATTCTATTGGCACTGCTGTTCTATGGAGATTATACAAGCTGTGTAGGTGCAGTTGATCCCCTGTGTCATCAGTATGTTCACATAAAAGTAGCTGAATGCACTATTTAGAAGGAGATACTTGTGTAGTGTATTTGATAAATATAAAATAGACTTGTATGCAAAGTCAACAGCTCGGTCCTCTGCGGCTACTTCTGTTTTCTACCATAGTTGTGCCAGTGTTGCCATAGAAACTGCAGGCACTATCAGTAGTGCAGAACTGTCTGATGTTGAAGGGCTGTAAGAGAATGACAGGGCACATCTGTTGAGAGAAAGATCTAGCTGATCTTGCATGCACAGCCTCTGCCATCTGCAGTCTGCAGACTTTTTACCTGTGATGCTGTATTTGATAGTTTTAGTTGGAAGCGACTTCTGTGACTGATTGAGGTATTTGTCATTGATTGGAGCCACAGACTGATTTAGTTAGAAGAATTATCTGGACTTTAGAAAGTATCATATGTCTGTGCTTTAAAAAGATCATTTACTTGAAAAAGCTCTCAAATTTGCTCATAAAAATACCAAATCAATAGATTTATTATTAATTTAAATATTCATGTCTTTTTTTCTCAGGTCCAGAATCAGTTCTTTAGTTAAATCTTTAACGTCACCAATGGCACCACAGGAGAAAACCAAAGTGGTTCTTCTGGCGTGTGGGTCTTACAATCCCATCACTAACATGCACCTGCGTATGTTTGAGCTGGCAAGGGACCACCTGGAGGACACTGGTAAGTAAACATTGCTTGAACAGATGCTTCTGTTATCATTTTATGTCCTACATGCTATATATTCTCCTGAAACAGTTACACACAGTTTCCAAACACACATAAATGAACTGTGTTGTATTGGTTGTATTATTGTACATTATTGCGAAAGTTAGAGACCACCCTTTTGTTTATTAAATTTCCAGTCAAAATGGACATAAAGTACAAATTATTCAGTCTTCAGTGTCAGGAAAAAGCATGTATTTAACAGAAAATTACACAAAATCCTCTGAGATTATTTAAAAAAAAAAAAGAAGAAGAAGAAAATTTGCAATAAATTGCCAAAACCTGACATCTGAGCTTTTGTGGACTGATGAGTCTAAATTTACATATTGGAATTTCTTGGATATTGTGAGTAACAGAATATGCAACCAACTTCTATGACTGAAATTTGGAGCGGATGCTGCAAAAAGGGTGTACTCACTAAATACTGAAAATTATATTATGAATATAAGTGATATGTGTATTTAAATTATATATATTTGGCCGCTTGACAGGAAAATGAAGCAAGTGCAGGTAAGTGTGAGTTATGTTTATAAAATCAAATCCCAGAGTTTTCTGATTTGTGTTTTATTCATTATTTATTTATTTGTTTAGGAAGGTACCAGGTGGTGAGAGGCATTATCTCTCCTGTAGGGGATGCCTATAAGAAGAAGGGCCTGATTGAGGCCTGCCATCGAGTGGAGATGGCCAGACTAGCTACAGAGAACTCTAGTTGGATCGCTGTGGACAACTGGGAGAGCCAGCAGGCAGAGTGGGTGGAGACCGCCAAAGTTGTCAGGTGAGTGTGTGTTTTTACATCAGTGTGTTATGATTTGGATGTAGAGATAAGCTGTGAAATGTGTGAGAATGGGAATGAGTGTCAATGTATCTGACGCACTGTGATGTTGTTTGTGTTTGTTGCTGTGCTGCATTACATTTTCTCTTAAGTGATCTGTGACAAATATCACGTCACACTGGAACATTTTATGTCAGTGAACATTCTCAAGAAGGGTACAGCTACTGGCTTTGTTGTTGTCAGATGAAAATCTCATAATTCACTATTATAATTCTACTATAATTTATTTTTTTGTTTTTGTTGTTTTATTTATACCAGCTGCTCTTTACATTGTGTAAACATTCAATGATGTCTGGACCATATATTTTTTCCTTCTTGTATAAAGTTACCATTTTAGAGATATGGATTTTTGTTATGCCAGCATCAATATTGTGAACTCATGTATGGGTGATTGTAATTTAAGGATGTTATTGTACGTTTCTGGCTTTAAATGATGCCTATTAAAGGGTCCATATCATGAAAACTTTGGAAAAGAGTTTGATGTAGTATGTAAACACTGTTAAAGTTTCCAAGTGTGTAATTACATACAGTCCATATATAGAAACTAAGCTGCAAAAACAGCCCATTTGGAATTCATTGTTTTTGTGATTTCACAAAGACTAAGGCATTGACATATGTTCACCTATTCAGCCTACAGCATTTTAGCTCCGCCCATTCATGCTGAAGCTATAAGGAGTGTTTCAGCCTGTGCTGATTTTTGAATGAGGCACAATTCAAGGGAGCCAATCAGAACAAGGTTGCTCAAATAACATATTTTGTTGATTTTCTAAGTGACTTCTAACTTCTCTACAGAGATACCTCTGCACAATTTAATTCACAATTACTGTTTATTTGCCAAATTTAACATTCAGGTAAAAAAGAAATAAATGGCACATTTTCTACTGTATGTTTCATTTTTTCCCAATATATTAAACTCAGCAAACAAATTGAAGTTATGCACCAAAACGATGCACTTCACTGTACAGGATGAGTTAACTTATTTTCACTTAGGAAACTGACAAAACATAAAATATGTGAGTGTTCAAACTTTTGCTTATGAATTCATATCAGTCTTAAAGGTACAGCAGCAAAACCAGCCTGTTCAGAGGTTGGAAAATGTAAAATGTTATTTAACAGTTGTTTGTGTGAGGAACTCGGCCCTTATTAACAGCCTAATCTTCACAAGGCACCATCATGCTGAACTGATATTGGCGGAGCAGAACCATGACGAGGTGGACACTGTGAAGCCTGTGAAGAGGAGAAGACTGGAGGAGAATGAGGATATGTGTCAAAGTTCCTCTGCAGATCACAACAGATCAGGTACTGTGCAAAAACAGCCTGCTTGGTAATGCATCTTATGACTAGCGCACTAAAACAAAGAGACAGGAGGGAGGTTACTTTAGCTGTCACTCAGTTATTCCACTAAAGCACTGCAGACGCACTGGGACATGTGATGTGCCCCGAAGGCAAAGAAGTGATAGACGTCCTGTAAGTTGTTGGCACTGGTGTGTCTGCGCTCAAAAACAGGGCCGATCAGCATTCCCCTCAAATCTCAAGTCAAGCCATTTAGAATTTACGTAATGGATTTCACACCATACATTAGTGCTTACGGGAAACGGGTCGGGCTCTGTAGTCATTTTTCAGGCAGGGGCCAACTTTCTATATTCTGCATCATCAACAGAGCAGCAAACAAATGTTTCTTATACTGTATAATGAAATATAGAAATGAAATTAGGGGTGGGCGATATGATTTTTTTAATGGTTATCATGATATGTCACAATGTGCTTGAAGAACACTGACCAAACTCATGTTTTATTTCAAAGAGAGTATAAATAGCCCTGTAGAATTGGCAAACATTGAATAGAGATCACTGTAATCACAGATATAGAAAGTATTTTATGTAGCACTACAGCGTTTTTTGTTTTTTTTTTCTTAACAAACTTATAAAAGTGTGTGTATACTGCCTGTGGGCAAATGCCATTCTTTATGATGTTAGCAGTGAAAAACATCTTTCTCAGTATAGTCGTCTGACAGGAACTTTTTTCTCTTTGTAGTTATGATGTAGCAGAAGTAGTTTACACACAGAAAGCTTAATAGAATACCTGAGTCCCTCCACCTCAAGGAAAACAGTAAACTTATAGCCTCAAAATTTTACTTTCACCTTTTATTTCAAGATTTTCAGAACGCGAAAACATGGGATGCCAGCAATGTTTTCAGTTCTACCAATTAAAAATTGTGGGTTTAGCAATTCACAAAATTAATTTTTTTTGATTTAATATTATACAATAATGTCTTGATTCAATGTTTTTCAATGCAGCAAAACTAAGAAGAGCCTGAAAATCCACCTTTATCTTGTTTCAATTTTCATTCACCTTTATAAAAGTACAGTGTTGAATACAGTCATATGCAAACGTTTGGGTGGCCCTGGTCAAATGACATGTTTTTGACTGTAATGTAAGCATATGTAAGCGTAAGTTAACACACATTTTACAGAGAACACATTTCTGCACATTTTAATGCACAATTGTTGTTGTGGCACATTTTAAATTTTATGTTTTCTTTTTTATCTATATCTTTGACTCATCAAATAAATGGAAATTATGCACAAAAAATTGCAGAACACTGGCATGTTTAAATTTACCCTGTGGGTTGATTATTTTCACTTAGAAAATCAACAAAACACAAAATTTTTATCAGGGGTATTGAAACTTTAGCATATGTCTATAATAATGCACTAGACTCGAGCCAGCATGCACTTAGAGGAGTGTGCATTTCATCCCTGCTCTTGAGTTGAAGATAAAGAGGGTCTGTGCTCATTGTTGGCTTCCTTGTTTAATTCTAATACACTTCCTGCAATATAATCAGTATTAAACTTAGTATATTACTTACGCCAGTCTGTTGAATGAATATTATAATATATAGTCAATGCATAGTGGATTGAAAGTATTGATCACTATAATATGTTGTATTGTTACACTCCCACTCATGTAGATTAGATCAGGTATCTGGGCTGTTTTTGTTGTTTTTATTCTAATCCAAAATAAATTTGCATATGTAAAGGAGTTTACACTAATCAAAACATCTTGCCCCACTAACTTGCTGTCTTTACCAAAAAAGTTTATTGAAAAATCAAATTTACACAATTTTCCACATAGTGTTTCAGCCAAAATGTATTTGGAGCTACAATGCTAAAAAGATTTTGGGTGACACAGACGTCCATTAATTGTTCGCTACATTAGCCTCTTAGCTCCAGTGCAAAACTAAAGAAGCAAACACTAGACCCCAAACATGTTTTGGCTCTTCAACTATATTTGCATTAAAAAGAATATTGTGCAAATTAGATTTTTAGCTGAACCAATCCTTTAATGTGGTCTCACTTGATATTGGAAATGGATATGTCATATTGATATTGATATTGGAGTTTATGTAACTTTTTCTTTTCACAGACGCTCCTGAGGTGAAGCTGCTTTGTGGAGCTGATGTGCTGGAGTCCTTTGGTGTGCCCAACCTGTGGAAGCCGGAGGACATTGAGGAGATTGTGGGTCGTTACGGCCTGGTGTGCATCACCAGGAGCGGCTCTAATGCTGAGAAGTTCATCTACCAATTAGATGTGCTGCATGAGCACCGCAAGAACATCCACATCGTTAGAGAGTGGGTGACCAATGACGTCTCAGCCACTCACGTAAGACGGGCGCTGCGCAGGGGCCAGAGCGTGCGCTACCTGCTGCCTGACCGTGTGGTGGACTACATCCAGGATCAGCGCCTGTACAGCGCGGAAAGTGAGAAGAAGAACGCTGATGTCATCCTTGCTCCTCTTCAGAACTACACCAAGAATACAGACTGAGCCAGTGCTCTGCAGCTGTGGGACTGAAACCTCTCACTGTATGTGTGGAGAGGCTATTGATCTTCCAAACACAATGCTCTCCCTGCAATACGGAGCCAGTGTGCTTTATCCAGAGGGTAATTTCTTAAAGCAGGATTCTCAAGCTGCATCCACGACAGCATGTTACTATAATAGTATGTCTGAGTAGTGCATTACCATCAGTGGTGCATTTAAGGGCTGAACAATTTAGGAAAAACATCTAATTGTGATTGTTCTGACAAATATTGCATCTGTAATTTAAATGTGATTCTTTTCTTAGAATTAAGCTCTTTTTATCTGCTAAAAAGAACACCACACACATTGATTTTTTTCAGACTTGTGGCTTGAATGCTGAATGTAATGTGCCAGACTGCCAGTTCACAAGCGTGAGTAAATAGAGTAAATTGTCTTGCTTGAAACTTGTCAAATAATTTAGGAAATAATTAAATTTGCAGCTCTTGTGATTTGAAAACTGCACTTTTCAAATTGCGATTTAGATATAAAAACAAGCAATCATTCAACTCCACAGCCCTATCACTCTCTAAAAAGATGAGTCTTCAAGGGTTTAGTGAAGAAAATCATACAGAAATTAGCTTGAAAACCTTTGGAGTATTTCTTTAAGCTAAAAGTGAGGCTTGTCCAATAAAACTGTCATTGACTTCTTTTGGCTTGAATTTGGGCTTGAGTTTCCTTTTAATTGAGAAATCCTGCTTTAATGAATCCCCCCTTAGATCAGATGAACTGAAGTTTAGCTTCTGTTTTGCACTATGGCAGGGTTTTATTGTGGCTGGTTTGATAACATTTTAGGGTAATTTTTTAAGGCCACCTTTTGTGCCACTTGAATTATAGTATGTTGTTAGTGCTATGTTTGTTTTGGAAAATTTGTAGAATTTGGAAGAATATTTTTGATAATTCTGTTATTGGAGTATCTTGAAAACATGATGCATCCATGTTTTTTAGTCCAATCACAGTTTATATAATGTAAACACCTTTACATTTGCTTTGTTGCTGTTGATTAAAAGAATAAAAAGGGAAGTTTACACTGCATCAAACTATCTTCGCCCCTTTAATTTGTTATCTTTAACATAGTCTCACTTCATTTGCATGCACAGAAATGTGTGTGTGTGACAGCAAGAACACTATAGGACACAGTGTTGAGGCAAGCTGTAGGTGACAGCGTTGCTTATGTTAAAAGATTTTTGTTGTTTAATCAGGTTCATTGATGTCACACGTTTAAATGTGATGAATAGGTGTTGAGAAATCCCCTCAGCCTCGTTTGATGTTAAACGTTCCACTGGGGATATTAAGTTCACCTCCTTGTTCTTTGTATTTATGCTAATTTTTGTTTCACTTATTTCCAAGGTTCACACTTAGGATAACTAATTCATGCACTATTCTCCTCCTGGCACTGACAAGCTTTCAAAGGAAACAATAACATAACCTATTGAGACCTTATTGTGTGACTTTAGGAACATTAAAGGAATAGAAACTTCACGACAGCCATTGAATGACAATGTCTATTTTTTTAATGTCTGGGAGGGGGACTTGACAGGATCATGTGATTTTCTCATGCATACAGTGGGGAAATTACACAGAGGCGAATGATTCACTTTACTGTGACCGATTGCATTGGCTGATAATGGAGTCGTGTGAGTGGGGTAAAGCCTGTTTATAACTTCAGACGGAAAATGCTTTCACAATGGAAACGCTTCCTGGGCGTCTGCTTTTGTGTAGATTTCCCTGTCCTGCCCGTTTTGACGCTTCACTGTAAACTGGTGACGTTTTTCCAAATAAACCTACTGCTGATTTATCTTTCAGACATATTTATCCTCATCAGCCCATTTTAGTCCCTTTAACAATACATAGCCACTCCTTATTCACTTAAAAGCACAAGAAAAGTTCCTTCATTTGATTTAACTTACATCAATTATGCGTATAACTAGCAAATAAATATAGTAACTTTGGATGCAGGTATTTTATAATTGAAGAATTTCATTCATATGCATTTGTAACAATTTTGGAGTGTTGGAAAAGAATAATATCTGATGTATAATGAAAAACATTTATTTTTCTAACAAGGCTGGTATTAAGCATGATATTTCTTTGTGTAACGCTCACTCCAAACAATATATATTTTGCAAAAATAGAGTTACAAATTTTGCCATCACTTGCCATATTAACAATTTTTGTTTTCTGTACAATAATAACTTGTACAATGTGGATTGAATATTATTAATCACTGGGTATTTCTGGTTCATTTAACCTTTCAAGATTTCAATGAATAAGCAGTTATTAAATGACAGATGATAAATAATGTATTGCAATTATAAATTTATATACATTTTTGTCAAATTATCTGCCTTGAGATTTGATCTTCACTTTTGATATATGATGTATTCTAGATATTTATTTTATTGTAGCTTAATTCTCTGCTATACAGGTTTCTCAGTCTTTTAGAATCTTCTATTGCTTTCTCTTCATTATCTAACATTTCTTCAATTTTATGTAGAGCTTCCTAGTGTCCTACTAACTATTTGAAGCCTGTTAAATTGCACTGGACTTAAAAATCAGAATAATTTATAAACTTGTCAGCAACCAAATTGGTTTCTTATTAGTGAAAACATTGATTCCAGTGGTGTACATACATTATTCTATTATTCTGAATGCTTTATTCTAGCAATCAATCTGCAGCGTATTTGTTAAATTTTAATAGAGGGTATTTATTAACTTCCATTACTCTTGTATAACAGAGTTAGTGTGGTGGTTCAGGGTGTGTTCAGTCTTCAAAGCCTAACCTGTTTGTGTGTGTTTGTAATTAATCAAAGGTATGTCTGAGCACCTGTTCACCCAGGTTTGTCATGTGGCTCCACCCCCTCTCTGCAGAGCGTCTCTTTTTAAAGCCTGAGTGCTCTGCCTGTTTCCCACACTCACATAGGGTTCAATTCTGTCTGTACTGCTGCAGTCACTCTTACCTGTCACCTGACAAAATGCCTGCTAGCCTCTGCGGTACATGGGACATGCTCAGCAATGTCAACTTTGAAGGATACATGATTGCTCTGGGTGAGTCTACAATTAATGCCAGATTAGTTGAACACCATTATTTTCATTATAAATGTGAATATTATGCTAAATATTAATGATACTAACAATAATATTCATTGATATTATTATAATGTATTATATCTAATAAGCATTATCAACTACAGTGCAAAAGTTTGAAAGTCCCTGGTCAAATGATATGTTTTGTTGATTTTCTGAGTGAAAATAAGTTCATCCTCTACAGGGAACAATATTTATTTGCTTAAACATTTTAGAACATATTGGAAAAAATAAAACATAAAATACAAATTGTGCCATAACTTCTGCACAGTTTTTTTTTCCCCCAATATGTTAAATTAACCAAATAAACAGTAATTGTGCATTAAAATGTGCAGTGTGTTCTCTGTAGAGAACATGTAAACTTATTTTGAGAAAACCAACCTTTGACCAGGGGTGCCAAACAACTGAATATAATAGGGAAAAATGCTGATCTTGTGGAAACTGAAAATTGAAGATTCAAAATAAGTGAGTTAAAATGTCTAATCTTATAATGTTGGCGGCAGGATTAAGTATTTATTTTTAACATGTAGTGAAATAAGCTCTTATTTGTTCTTGTTTCTCCTGCAGGGATTGGCTTGTCCACTCGGAAATTTGCTCTGAAGCTAAAGCACCGCAAAGTGATCGAGAAGGTTGGTGAGGTTTATGTGGTCAAAACTCTCAGCACCTTCAGGAACTATGTCCTCTCCTTCCGGATCAGTGAGGAGTTTGATGAATACACCAAAGGCTTGGATGGAAGGCACTGCAAGGTAATCCACTCAGATTGCTCTATGAAGGGGAATTCCACCAAATTTACCCAATAATTAAATAGGTGAAAAAAGGGTGGTTTGGTGTGAAATACTCCATTCTAGAGAAAAGTCAGAATCGCTGGTTCCTTTCACCACCACTGTTTCTCTGCAATGAACCATCCCAGTGAGTGTATTATGCAGAAATTTAAAAAAGCGGTGGGATTACCCTTTAAGATAAATGAACTAATTTGTGTTAATCAAAACTTGAGGGGTACATTTTGACTTCTAATGCCAGTTTTTAATGTTGTACAGAATTTGCTGAGAATATTTAATTACTCTTAGTGGTTTAAAGTAACAGGATACTTTTACTTAGGAGGCTTTTTTGAGTTTCTGTGCGCAAATTTCTATTATCTCTGTTTGATTCTTATTCAAAGTAAATCTATTTTTTACACCTATACATTTTGATGGAAACATGGACATTAAAAAACCCAAAACGTGTAGGAATATGTGTAGAAATAAAACATTCCAGCATAATTTAGCAGATAAAGCAGATATGTAGGATCACAGCCTATTCTCATGACTAAAAGCAGCATAACGCTGTTATGACTGCTCTGCAAACTGCAAATTACATTCACTGATATTAGTTTCCTTTGACTTTTCCCATTTAAGTTGATTTCATTATAGTCTACTGTAGTTAGAATCACAATTTTGCAACTACTTTAAGTTACAGTAATTTCTCTGTAGGTTTATGCATAAATTCTTAGAGTCATTTTCTACAAATGCAGTTCTAAGTAAAGTTTTTTAGCAGGGACACCACAGGTGACTTTTTGATGTCTGTTGTGCGGATAAACATATAATCGTACCTGAAATCCTGCAGCAAAAAATAGCCATTAGTGTTTGTACACAAGCAAAATAGTAGAGGCAGTGCTTGAAATGACAACTCACAGAACGCGTTTTCCGTCTCTGTGCAGTCTGTGGTGACGAGGGAAGGGAACAGGATGGTGTGCACTCAGAAGGGAGAGAAGAAGAACCGAGGCTGGGCTCACTGGATTGAGGATGATAAGCTGCACCTGGTAAGAAGAACATCATTTTTTTAAGTGATGAATTCAATGAACTGAAGAGAAAACAAAATAAAACTGTAAACGAGGTCAGCTGTTCCTTTATGTAACATCAGTAAGACATCCAGTATTTGCAACCAATTCAGTGCTGGATTGTGCTGGAGCTTACATTAAGCATTTACTGCTTTACAGTAATAATCATATAGCAAAATTCATCTTTTGAAATTAAACATTAAGTTTAGTGGACATTGACTAAGGCTGGTCTTGAAATAAAATGCATTGTCAGTGTAGTTTTACTATAAAAAAGTCAATTTATAATCAAGAATTAGGTTTAATCTGGTCCTGGTCTGTGTACATAAAAGAACCAACCTGAATTCTAAGCATCAGAACACCTCCAGTCATTTTTTACTAGGAAAATATATGATTCTTATAATGGTCTAGTTATTAACTATTTTATTTCCTCTTGGTTATACAGGAGCTGTACTGCGAAGACCAAATCTGCAAGCAAGTCTTCAAACGGGTGGCTTAAAAAGTAACAAGAGTTTGCAATGAGGATGGAGTTTTTATTAAAGCATTAAGCTTTTATAACACAGAGAATGGAGGGACCATGAGCTCTATCTTCTCTCTCACGATACGTGTTCATCAGGAGAATTATACAGAGAGCCTCAAGATCTCAAGATGAGCATCTGTTATCAAATGTGGTGCACATGACAACTCTGCTACTGGAGGGCCACTATGCAGGTTTTAATGTTTTCCATCCTGTACGATGCCAGATTCAACTCATTAGCTAATTCAGGTGTGTTGGAACAAGGAAAACACAAAACTGTGCTGCGAGTTGCTTCAGATATGCAGATTTCCACTAACTACAGCGCCACTAGAGGGAGACATAACATTTAAAATGGACAATTTGAATCCCATCATAATGGTCCATGTCAGTCATCAACTGATGCTGCATTTTGGTGTTTTGTTATTTTCTTTATTTTACTTTATTTATTTATTTCCTGATTACATATCCAACTAGAATGGGAGCACTTGTGGCCCTGAGTGGACTCTGAATTAGCCAACAACTACACCATAAGCAGTGGTGCTTTTGAATGTAAATACTTATTTGCTTTTTGAATGTAAAAATCGCAGTTTACTTTCACATGAAAACTGCCAGGAAAGATGTGTGATAGCTTGTTTTTATGTATTATGAAGGAAAAATTAACATGTGTCATGAATTGTTAAAAGCTGCCAAGTAAACCAGTCACACTGGTTAGACATAGACTATTGTAAAGTCTATGAACTCAAGAAAATGTACAATAAAACACTGAAGTCAATGTTGTTGTGCCTTGTAAAACTCTTTGCTGTAACATAAGATGTCCAACATTTACAGCCAATAAGTGCTGTTCACTCCACAAATCCATACAGCTTATATGGCAACCCAGCTCCAAAATGGCCTGTTTTAAATTCATTGTATTTGTGATGTCACAAAAACTGATTTATTGACATAAATATACAGATAAGGAGCGTTTCTGCCTGAACTGGACAAGGCGTAATACAAAGCAGCCAATCAGAACAGAGTTAATTTACATATATTAGCCTTAAAGGCAACAAAACTATCTTGTTTGATTCTGAGGGATAAAGAGAGGTGAGAGAGTGGAGCAGGGCCATACAAAACACAAGAAACATGACGTGACGTGAAGTTAAACTTCATTACAGCAGAATAGACTGTGGAATACAGCTACTCGTTGTTTGATGTTAAGCCTAAATGATAAACTCTGAGTGATGAAAGAAAGAAAGGATGTGAAGAGTGTAGAATAAACAGGATGGTAAAGTTACACTCGTGTTCAAATTTAGAATCATTAGATATTAGATCTTGCCATTTTAATAATAATTGTTGCTTTAAATACAGTTCACTGAAACAGTGTGGATTTAAATATTGCGAACTATTTGCCAAAAGGTACTTTAGATGTTTTTAATGTTTCAAGAATTCTACAAACAAGATGTGAATTTTACTTTACATTTTTTGGTAAATAGAAATAAAAAATCTGCTTTGAGATCTGATCTCCACTTTGGAAATATGCTGAATTTTAATATGAATTTTATTACACTTTAATTATCAGTGCTATAGAGCTTTCCCAATCTTCTACAGCTCTGCTCATCATTTATAGACACATCTAAACTGTGCTGTTTTTTGTTGTTTCCTAGTGTCCTACCAGTTATTAGAAACATATGAAGTTGCACATGACTAGCAGATTATAACCATTTTATCCATTTATCTGCCAAGTTTGTTTTATATTATCGAAAACAATGATTCCAAACTTTTAAATGGCGCTGTATATTTCATCATAAAGTAATATGACATATCTACTATTAAAAATGTGCTAGATATTTGTTCTCTGTGGTGTATTTACGCCACTTTGTTACACGCACAGCCCTCCTCTTCCTCCTCTCCCCCTTCATCACTCTGCAGCAGCGCCCCCCGCTTGTCACGTGACCACAGAGCCAAAATGGCCGCGTTCGTGTTTTGACGAATAATACTTTTGTGTTTGTTTCATTCTTTTAAAGAAATCGAATTGAAATCGTCTTTACTGGGTGGGGAAGGGAAAAAACAAACGTCTAATTAATGTTTTAACTTAAGCAGCTTTAAACAGACAATCACGCTTTATTGTTATTTTGTCGTATTGTTTTAGACTATGCACTTTCGGTGTTTATAAGAGGCAGAGAGAGAGAGAGGAGGCTAGCTGGCTGGCTAGCGAAATTATTCAGCTAAAAAAAAGAAAAGAATTAAAAGAAAAACGATGGAAGAGCTGAGTGCTGACGAGGTAAGACAGCCGATATATTTCTGTACGTTCTCTAATGTGAATTAGCCAGTGTAATGACAGAAATGTTGCCAGCACTGTGTCGTTGTCCCCCTCTTTTTCAGCCGGAGCTCAAGTCAGCTTCTTCTTCGCCAGCTTCTTGTCCGAATTTTCCCGTTCCACCTTAAATAGTGCAGCAGTTACATTCTGGCGCCTGAGGTAGCTGCTGCACCATTTAAGGCGGAACGGGAAAATTCGAATAGGAAGCCAACTTCAGCCTCGTAAAGCTGTAATGTTGCCTGGTTTTGGTTAGCAGTCAGCTAAGATGAGAAGACAGCTGCTATCTGCTGTCTGTCAACAATACTACTCTTCTCTATGTTCATGTTTGGCAGATATGTGCATAATTATGTTATATGTCGTTTGGGAGAATTAATGTGGGGTTCACATTGAGTGTCAAATGAACTGTGCTATGTCATCCCACCAGCTAGTTTGCTAGCTAGCAGTCTAGTAAGTGAAGCTCACCTACTACTGGTTGTTTGCTAAAGCCCAGGTTAGCTAACCTAGCTAGCTTCGCTGGCTGGTTTAGCTTGCTGCGCTAGCTTCATTGTTAGCCAGTCGGAAATATACAGGGGATAAAATCAAAACTCTCTAGGCTGACATGCCTTTTAAAAAGGCAACGCGTTTATTGTCACCTTTGCTCCTTTACGTGGTGGTCACTGACGATACGTTACCCAAAGGAGCTAAAATGCTTCGACTTAATGTCAACTGGTCTAGTCTCTGTGGAAAGGCTGTGCAGTATAAAAGTAACATAAATTAAGACCGTGTCAGCAGCTAATTAAGTCAGCTTTAGACTTCAGATTCTGTTTTCGAAAAATGTGTGGATTCAGGGGTTTTATGCTCACGGTTACTATGCATTTTTAGTTCACAATTAGATACTGAAATAAGCCAAAAGCTGTATTCAAACCCCTTTCAGCCTGGATATCTTTAGCTGGCTGGTGAACTGTTGGTACTGTTTTCTTGGTCTTCTCACCTTTAATAACAGCATCAAAGCAACGTAGCTGCACAGATAGGTTTGGTAAAATGAGTTTAGTTTAATCCTGTTGCTGTTGTAGTCCTTCCATTATCATTGCCTAGGCTCAACGCAGGCTGGAGTACCGAGTCATTTTGGCCAGATAGGATTGCTCATTTTTCTTAAAAGTTAAGGACCTTAAAAGAACAGTTAGGGTTGGGCAGCATGGCCAAAATATAACAGCAAGATACGAGCCGTTTTTATGATGCACAACATTTCATGTTTCAGAATTTTGAAAAGATAGACAAAAAAACCAGTCACAACAAAAACTATGAATACAGTGTTTTTTATTACATACTGCACTATCCGAAATCCAGATAAACAGGCCTGATTGTGCTCTCTTTGTAATAATATATGAAGCCTGTCACTATTTTGGAAGTGCTAACAATTTTCGCAGTATGTTCAGAAAAACATACTGTGATTTGATTTTTCACTAACGGTACATATCAATATATTCACCACCCATAGTTTACAGAACTTTGAAAACAATTGAAACATTTACTGTTTAACACTGTAGTCACTGAGGGAAACTGTCTGGATGACAGAAAAAGGGGTCAAATGTGTCTCACAGTGTAAACGTTGTCATGTTGGTGTTGCTTCTCAGATGTACAGCCCTCGCAGCTGACCTGACTGGATCCCCTCAGTTCAAAACTCAGTAAAGGCTTATATGTGCATCTGTGCTGAATACAAGGACTTATTCAAATTCTGTTCTGGCTTCTTAGAGCTGTCAAGAACTAAAATTGCACAGGAAGAGCAGTATTATGATAATCTGACCTACAGTACAGGTGTAAGGGCTGATTAATAGCTGTTTTCCTTTTGTGTGACTGCTCCTAATAGTCAAATTCTTGTATTTTTCAAGAAAAAGTGCAGGGCCTTTTTGTCTTTTAAGGTACTGATGGAGATATGAGAGTTCAGGTCTGATCCATCTCTGAACTTCAACTACAATATCTGTTGCTGTTGTCAAAATGCTAATGGTGGGGTAATCGCTAGTTACAGATTTTTGGCTGCGCGGTAGACTGAATCAGGACGAGGCAAAATTATCCTGTCATGCATTTATCATCTTGGCATTTCACTGTCAGCCTTTACCAGGGAGACTGAGGTCTTCGTTTTACCTTCAGTGCCTCTTGTGAGTCACTGGAGTATGCACTGATCCTTCTGAAGTATTTCATTGCTGGACAATAACAGATGAGTGTTAATGCTTTGAAATATGTTGAAAAAAAGCAGTAGTTTTTCATTTTCTTTCTTTCTAATTTTTACTATGTTGTTTTCTAAATAGATCTTCATCTGGGTTTATTTATTTCAGCTTTTCAGCTCTAACTAGGGTGTTCCCTCAGTTTATATAAATTTGTTGGCCTTCATTTGGAGATGAGGATGTCAGTATTTGTAAGGATGCACTGTTATGGGAATTTTGGGCCAGTGCTGATATCCAATATATTTTACATACATATGTGGCATATAAGTTGGGACTTGATACAACTTGATTAGCATTACAAAAAATGTACTGTTTATTTGTAGAGGGTTACAAGTGTAGTAAGATTAATAGATTGAAGGTATTTTATCACAGCAGCCCAGCATCACCAATGCAGATAAATGATATTTAGCCAATTATCTGCAGATACCAAAATAATTATATATATAATAAATATGATTTATTCCCCAATAATCTGAAAAAATATACCCCATTTTTTTTTTTAGATTATTTTTAAGTGTGGCACTACTGGCTCTTTTTCTTTACCTGTTCCAACAAACTGGATACCATAAAAATTAATATAGTGACATATCATATATTATAAGTATCAGATATATCAAACTCTTGATTTTGCCCAACTCTACTTCCAGTGACATTGTGCGTACTTCAATATTTCTGATTTTGAAGGAATAAGTTGCTCAGTTGTACTGTATGAATTCATTTTAACTGACTGTTTCAGATTCGGAGAAGGCGATTGGCCCGGTTAGCCGGAGGTCAGACGTCCCAGCCCACTACTCCTCTGAGCACCCCGCTGACGTCCCCACAGAGAGAGACCCCTCCAGGTCCACTGCCAGGGCCCTCGGGGGCCTCTCCGCAACCTTTGCCACCAGCACCATCCCACACTTTGGGCCTTAATGCCCAAAATGTCACCCCTGCCACTTCTCCAATGGGGCCTTCAGGTAAGAATGCTGTTCTGGTGTCATTCCATCTTATTAGCTGCAGCAGTGTTCAAAGATTCCTGCCCATAAAATGGTATTTGTAAATGTACTCTGTACTGAAAAAACAGCACTGGTCGTTTATATAGCCTGCATACGTAGAGCTTTTTTCTATCACTTTCTTTTTAAAACTGAAAGCAGGCAGATTGTTTATCTTTGAATGCTGCCTGTCACTGTGGGAGCATGTCCTTGGCTCCACCGGCGCTTTTAAATGGTGCTGCTCTGGGAGCACTGCTTTTAGGCGTACGTTCAATCAAGAGTGACTCAGATTAAATGAAGCTCCATGCACTGCTTGTTTTTAAATCTTTGAATATGTTTATAGTCAGTCATGCATGCCTAGTGAGCCTAACCACATGTGTAACATATTATACATTACACAGTGATTGTTCAGCTATAATTCAAAAGGATAGGTCAGTGTACCCTCTAGAATTCCTTGTTCTCATTCTAGGGATTTCTAATTGAATTGTCTGGCTTTTATCTTCAAAAGCTCAGGGAAGACCTTGGGAATCATAGAAACCTCTAGAGAGCAGTTCTAATATCAAAGCAAGTAAAGTTTGTGTGCTGTATTTTGCTTGAGTATGATGGTGCTAGTCCCCAGAAAAGTGCATAGTCATACTGGCAATCTCTCAGTACCTTAGCCTTGGCCAGAGTTCAACCCAGGACTTGTATGTGAGCCAGACTGATGGTTCACTCTCATTCTCAGATTTACAGCGTGCCTCACTGCCATAGGGAGTGCAGTCTGTTGATTACAGGTACTCTCCCTGTCATGTAGGTTATGACCTAGTTGTTCTAAGAGTGTTTGCATATCCTCTCTGATTACCTTTGTAGTCTTGTGACTGCTGTTACAAGTAGAGAACACTGAAGGCTCCAATCTCAGTCTGTTTATTTTGGGATACACTCATAAAAAAGAAAGGTAATCTATTTTGTATTTTTTTTTGTTTTGCTTTCGGTGTCAGCATATCACACAAGTGACCCAAACAAGCTGAACCTGTTTACTTTGTTTTTTTTGGGTTTTTTTAACATTCTGTTTTCTTTGAGATGCTCAATGTCCTGTCTGATGATGCAGAGCTTCTAGTGGTTTATATTTCAGGGAATCAGGAATTTTGGGGTGCACATCAGCTTTTGTAAAATGACCTTTTTGTGTTGTCATCAGAAAGTGCAGAGTGCTATTGTGACTGCCATTCAGCACACCTGATTCAGAGCTCCACATGAAAGTGCAGTTTTAGCAAAAGTACAAGGCTGCAATGTATTGCAGCTTTTCTCTAGAACCTACAGCAATGGAATGTGTTCCAAAGCATCTGCCGTGCTCTTACTGTATGCTGCTATCTTGCTATTTCTAGATGGGCACTTTGGCAGGGTTTTGCAAGTTACGATTGTTCAGTGCTTACATCTGTTTACACTCAGTTAACAGTATATTGCTTACACCTACTTTATACCTACACACGTTTGCCATTTTTTCAGGTACACCTGCTGTGTGGGTGTACTTTGTAGGTATACAGTTCTGTCTCTTGTCCATCTAATCACACTTTATCAGCCATGTTCTACCTTGTCCATCGGTGAAAAGTACAAGCACAGCTCCCACTGACAGGCCACTACTATTGTGGTATCACTGCTGTGCTGAGGATGCTACACCATCAAATATCATCTGTAGTGATGGTCCTCTAGTGGTCCCTTTCCATTGTTTAACAGAATCGATGGCAGCTGAGAAATGGCGCATAAACAGAGATGGGCTACAACCTTGGACGACGATATAAATTTAGACAAGTGATTATATTTTGTGGAATTACCACATTAAACGATTCCATTGCAATCCAAATTCAGTTAGGAACCACGTGTGAGTAATGCGGAGCCTTAACCTAAAGCCTGCATTTTCCCAGGTGATGTTGGAATTACCATGTGGGCTACAGCATCCGGTGGTTCTCCACATTCATTTGGTCGGAAACTAAACTGTTGCCAAAAATGTGCTTGTCCATTTTTACCCTCTACCAAAGAAAAGATCTCATGTACCTGAATTTATTTGCATGCACCCCAGCATTTACTGCCATATTGAAAACCTACATTATAATCATTCCATGTGGCATTCAAATGTATGTGTTTAATTGGTTGGTGGTGTTTGATAATATCAATCATCAGCTTGGCAGAATGGCAACTTGGTGTATATTGTCAGTGAAGCTTGAATTCATGGGGAGTAGAGTTTATAGTACATAACCAGAACAATCTAAGCCTACCGAAAATGCACATTACAAATGACATCTGAAGACTTGTAAACACATTGTAGTCATGATTTCACTGCTTTGCTCTTTGCTGTAGGGGTGGCTTACCGCAGCCAGAGCAGTGAGGGGGTCAGCTCTCTCTCCAGCTCCCCATCCAACAGCCTTGAGACCCAGTCTCAGTCCCTGTCCCGCTCGCAGAGCATGGACATAGACACAGCATCCTGCGAAAAGAGGTGAGGATTCCTGTGGGGCAAAATTAGATGTCCCTCTTAACAGCTCTGAAAAACTAATGATGAGAGGATAAGGTTTGAATAAAGTACATGAAAAATTAAACTAGTTTCTGTAAATACTTTTTTCTGTCCTAGAAGACAGATGTAAAGAGTTCAGCTGCTGTCTCTTTGCCAACTCTTTCTGCAGTTGGTTTTCAGTGTTCCTTTGTCCTTCGGCCTCATGATCCTATAGTACGAAAATGCGCCAGTCTCTTAAGTGCTTAGCAGAACTCTCAAAATGTCAATCACAGGCATGTAGTGATAAAACTGGCAGTATTCCTTTAATTGACAGTTATTTCCCCACTTTTCAATATTTTATTTATATTGGCAGTGACCCTTTATTTCTATGGGCAATGTTAGGATGCTCCTTTAGCAGTAAAAGGTCACAGTATTTACTATTGAGAATGACTAGAGCCATTTATTGAACAGTTTTTTTAATCTGATCCTGCTCTGTGTCTTCAGCATGTCCCAGGTGGATGTGGACTCAGGAATTGAGAACATGGAAGTAGAGGACAGTGACCGCAGGGAGAAGCGCAACCTGGCTGAAAAGGTGAAAGTAGCAGTCATCTTATGAATGGAGGAATCGTTCTGCCTTTTGATTGACATTCCAGCTTTTAAAAGTTACTAATTAATGCTGAGTTTGTGAAATATTCATATATTTGCTTATTGAGAGTGATAAATAAATGAATAGTTTTGTTAACTGAATGCTGTTTTTTTTTCTGCAGGACTCCTCGTCTAACCCAGATGTGTCTGAGGAGCAGGCTCTGCAGCTCATCTGCAAGATCCTTCGTGTCTCCTGGAAGGAGCAGGACCGTGATGTCATCTTTCTGCCTTCACTTGCTGCTGAGTTCCAACAAAACCCAAAAGATGGTGAGAGGAAAACATGGAAGGAGATAATCATGTAATAATTTTATTTTTCTTCTGTGCTGTTATCAATCTAGGCTGTATTTTTCTGTTTTTTTCCCCACTAGTCTATTCTGACTTTAAAGACCTGATTGGCCAGATCCTGATGGAAGTCCTCATGATGTCCACCCAGTCGCGTGACTGCAACCCCTTTGCCAGTTTGACCGCCACATCACAGCCAATCACTGCTGCCAAATCTCCAGACCACCACCTGACGCTTGTCCCACCTTCCAGCCAGGGGAGCAGTCCCATGATGCCCTGCGGAGGCTCGTTTGGTGCCAGCTCTTTGTCCAGGCAAGTGTGGGCAAACAATGGGGTGCATTTATTCCTCACACACAGGTGCAGATTTGATCTTAAAATGTGCAAAAGAGCTGATTTTTAAATGAAGCCTGATGTATTGGTATTTCTTGCTCGATGCCTAGTTTTGAAGTCATTCACTCAAAACCCAGCCTGCTCAGATATATTTTTTTTTAACGTTCATAACCATTCATCTAAATTCTATTGTATTACTATCATATGAAATAATTTCTTTTTGAGCATCTGCACACTTCCATATTTTATGTTCTATATAATTCCTGTTGTTTTCAGTTTATATGGATGTAGTCCACAGTCTCAAACTCAAAACGTCAGGATGAGCACTACGTTAATACCTCCAGTAGCCCCACCTCCAGTAGCCCCACCTCCAGTAGCCCCACCTCCAGTAGCCCCACCTCCAGTAGCCTCTCCTCCAGCAGCCCCTCCTCCAGTAGCCCCTCCTGCAGCTGCCCCACCTGCAGCTGCCCCACGCCTCCCTTTCAGCTCCCCCTCTCCAACCCCCTCGGCTCCTCTGCCCATCTCTCAGAGATACAGGCCTTACTCGCTGAGCCCTTCTCAGTCTTCCTCTTTTCCCATGAGCCTGAGTTCCAGGTCTGGCACTGCAGGGCCCTCATCTGCCCTGACCACTTCTACTCAAAGCCCAGCTGTGCCGTCCAGCCCCCAGCCTGCTCAGCTCCCATCCCCCAGACACCGTGCACGGCACACAGCTGTCCCGTTCCCTTTCTTGCCTGCCTCTCCTACCACTATGGCCAGACGGACCGCCCTGGCTGCCCGGATGCCTTCTAGGTATTTTCTCGCTGTGTTAGATGTGAAGCTTTGCCCACTAAACCAGTAATAAGCTAACACTGCACCCGGTTAAACAGGATCCGTCACTTGTCTAGGGATGTCAAGATTAGTTGATTAGCATCAATTACTTGTTAAAAAAATGAATATATTGCAATTTACCAAACCCTCGGCTTAGAGATTAGGTCAGGTTTTTATAAGCACTGTTGATATGCTTGTTATGCTTGTTGGCATAATTTTTCATGATAACAAATAGTCATGTTGCCCAGCCCTAATTATGTGCATGTCTGTGATGAGTTCATTAAAGATTTCTCAAAATTTCTTGAGGTGGCATCAAAAACGACTTTGCACCAAATGAAATTTAATTGACACGAATACACTGATAATACGCATTAAATTCTCCTACTGCTCTCTGACATAAAGAAACGAAGCATGATTTACACACTCATTTATATGCATATGTATATGAATGTGCATTTTCAAAGACTTTTTGTCCTTTCCCGTGAAGTATTCTGGAATCCTTAAAAGGCTCTGTGTAGTATTTAGTTAAGCCCGTTTTAATTATTTGGCTTTTAAAAAAATGCACTGGTTACTTAAAAGTTGTAAACTGTTCTGTAGATTACTCGGCTGCTAATATAATCGCTCGTGAAAGTTGTCCTTATTAATAAATTATTGGGTATTTAATGTATCATTCATTTTTATAATAAAATGATCTATGTGAGCCGTATCACAACTTCTAACCCGTGCATGTGGTAAAGTCTTTTGATAAAGATTTCAGTAAGTTGTTCAGAAAGTGTTCTATAGTTGTTTGTTGTGTTCCACTTTCAGCTTCCTGCCAGCTTCTCTTTTTTAACAGATTTCCTTTGTACTTTTCTTGTGCCCTTTGCTGCTGCTGTGGCGTGGTTCATAAACATCTAATGCACATAAGCTGATCTTCAGCCTCTGTGGTCATCTTCTAATGAGTAGCATAAACATAAAGCCTATTTGACAATAGTCTATTTGTGGTTCCTCCTGTCCATGAGAAATGTCATTAAAATCTCCACCCTCCTTCATTTCACATCCTCCCGTCCTGCACTCGTCTGTCTGCCGTGGCCCTGCCAGCCCTTTCTCTCTCCTCTTCTTTGCCCTGTCTGACATGTCTCAGGACAGCACTGATGATGAGCTGGAGGAAGACGAGGAGGAGGAGGATTTTTCTGGGGTTCAGTTTGGGTCAAGGTACCAGTGCCAGTGTGTGTTGCATGCTTCAGCGTGCTGCCTGGCCACTAACAGAAACATGTTTTGTGCCCTGTGCTGGCACAGTAAATGGGCCTTGCCGTAAAAAAAAACACACAGCCCAGTGGCTTCCATGAGCAGAATTTTTTTCCGTTTTGTTTTGGTTATACAGTACTGTGCAAAATTCAGTCCCTTCATGTGTTTAATTTCCAGTCAACGCAGCCTTTAATTGGAGTCATTCATTTTTCAGCATCAGAACAGAAAGCAAAACACATTTATCAGAAAATTGCAGAAGTTTCAACAAAAATGTTTCTTTTCAGCATATAGTATCCATAGTTTGCTTATATTGGAGTTTCTATTGTTTTGAGACTTGCTTTCAGTTTTTCAAAGAAGTAAATCTGCACACACATTTTCCATGCTTCCAAAGTTCAGTCTTAGTAGTTGGTTGTATTTTCCTCTTCTCACAATCCAAGTAATTCCAAAGACGGTCAGTGATGCTGCTGTCTGTGCTCGGGGGTGGTCACTCCATTGTTTTGAGAACACCAGCAGCTCCATGTTCTTGCTTTTCTCAGCACAGCTGAGGCCCATAACATTGAGTTGTCTTCTCACAGTGGAAGGATGAACAGAATCGCCTGTGGAGTTTTTTCAGATCTTAAGCAAGAGTGGAGCTTAATTATCTCTCAAAATCAGAAACTTTAAGTGCTGTTTATTTGAAGGTGACTGTATTGGTTTTCTGTCAGGTCTTACATAGTTGTTAGAAGTCCCTTTTTTTTCTCTGTCTTTTAATTATTTTTTTAACTTCAGTTTTGTTTTTTTACATGATATAAAATACTGTATATTTTTTTAATATATCTAATCTCCTCTGAATAATCTGAAAAATGAATAGCATTGTATTTGTATTTGGCCATTTTGACTGGAATTTAAACAAATGAAGTGTCTCTAACTTTTGCACAGTACTGTATGTTGTTTTGAACAAAGAGAGAAAGGGTAGGTCCCCTGTAGCAAAAAGACGTGGCAGCCCATTGGTGAGGTGCTTTATTTCAAGGTGATATGTTGTCAGTGTCATGAAGATCTGAGACTAATTACAGCTTGTGGCATAAATGTGATCCAGCTGACCTCTAAGCGCCTTCTCAGAACATCCGTCTGTGCTCCTACTGTTGCATCTATCTGTTCACTTGACTTTTGACAACAGATTTTTTTCATAAGGCTTGCCGTCTTAATGATATTATTGAGAATCGCCCAAGCATTGGGAAGTGTCTGGTAATGAGCAGTTTAGGTGCTTAATCCGTGCTGGATGAATAAATAACATGACTAATGAGAGAGGCAGAGGTGTGCTGTGGAGTGTGTCCTCTCACCTGGGAATTCACCACTAATGCATGGCACATCAGACCGGAGGCTCTTAGCGTTTGTTACAGTTGCCGATGACTCTGCCCTTTTTTATAAACCAAAAATGTTGGGACAGTGTGTGAAATGCTAATAAGAACAGAAAGCAGTGATTAGAGGGTGTTACGCTCTGCTTGGGGGGGTGGTTTATTATTTTTGGCACTGGCCAACCTAAAGTCAATACTGGTGTTTGTCTTTGTACAGAATTCTTACAATATACTTTTCTCTTATTGATTCCATGTCTTTGTTCATTTCACTTTGCCAGTTTTCACATACCATTAGTTGTAGCCGTTATGTACACAGATGTCCACCATTTACTCATTCTGTTATGGTTTGACCCTAGACTAGTCATAACACAAGTTAAATTGAAAACAGTACATGATACTTGAAGTTTTGCTGCCCCTGACTCACTTACTGTAAATAAATGCTCATTCCAAGTTTGGTTCCTGTAATACATTCCAAAGAAAGTTGGGATGGGAGCATGTCTCCCTTTCAACATCACTTAATAATTGTTTGGAGACTGGATACACCAGTTGATCCGATTTTAAATTTTTGCCATTCCTCTGTCATTTTTGTATTTTGTGCTTCAGCGTTGTTGCCTCTAAATGTGTGTATATCTTTCAGCATTAGTGGGGCCTTCACAGATGTGAAGTTACCCATGCCATGTGCACTAATACACCCCCTTTCATGACAAACCCTGGCTTTCAAACTTGACGCTGGTGACAGTTTGATGACTTGACAGTACACATTTTCACTGTGCATCAGTCCATTTCAAATGAGCTTGAGCCCAGATAAGGTGGTGGTTTCCGCTGTGCATAGTGCAGTCTTAACTTGCGTTTATGGATGCACTGATAAATTGTGTTTATTGATGACAGTTTTTTATGCAGTGCTGTCTGAGTGATTAAAGATCATGTGAATTCAGTTGTGGTTTTTGGTCTTTCCCTTTACACACAGAGATTTCTCCAGATTCAGTGAATCTGCTGATAATATTAGGCATGGTAGAGGGTGAAATACTTTAAGTTCCGCACTCCTCACTTATTGAGGAGCATTCTTAAAAGGCTGGATTATTTGCTGACTCATTTTTTGACAAAGTGACATGCCATCCTATCCATGCTCATAAAGGACTTTTTCCCTGTTGCTCCTTTTAAACCCAAATATAGTTGCATCATCTGTTTAAGATTTCTTTTTGAACAGTTCACAAAAGTCAGTGGGGTAGTCTTTAATTGCTCCTCTCCTAGCTTTCTTGAACATGTTGCAGGTATCCATTTTAGAATGAGCCTATACGTACAAAAAAAGTTCATAAGTGGTCTTACTTAAATATGTGGTCTTTGTAGTGTTTTTGTTAAAATACGGGTGAAAGAGGATTTAAAAATCACTTCTTTCTGTGTTTATTTACATTTATATGCTGTTGGACTTGAGGTTTGTAATATGCTTTAATTTGATTGGGATGTGCATCTTTTGCCCTTGATTAAAGAACATTTTTGATCTTTTTTCGGGTCCTCTTGACAGGCTTCTCTCAGCCATAGCACGAGTTATTTCATGTGTTTATTAATAACCAAGCACTTGCTGTGTTATTGGTTGACTTTGTAAACATAGACAATTTATACAGGCTTATAAATGCTTTGCATTTACTAAAGACCTTATCTAGTTCTGAATTGTGCAACATCTGCTGTGTTCACTGTATATAAGATACGGCAATATTTTCTAATTCTAACACAACGCCTGCAAAGCATTCTCTTACAGGATAGCGTCCATTGATTGTATATTATTTTTCTGAAGCAGGGTCTATTTGCCACGGGTCACTGTTGGGTTCTTTTTTTTTCTTGTTTATAATGATATCCATCTATCTCTCTCCATTTGTCTCTGTGTCTCCTATTGTAGCCTGGGTGCGTCTGGTGGGGGAATGGCCTGTGACTCAGGCAGTGACCGCTTCACCATTGAGGCGTGTAAAGAGACAGAGATGCTGAACTACCTCATCGAGCGCTTCGACAGCGTGGGCATGGAGGAGAGAAAGGCTCCCAAGGTGACTCTTCACAGAGGAAACCTAGCTTCCATATAAAACCTACGCCTTCACCTATGACTATGAGCAAAGAAAATGAATACGCGATGCTGCTAATATGAGGGTATTCCAGTGGAAACTGAATTAAAAGGAAGCATGGATTTTCAATGCTCTCTTTGTAATACTTCATCATGATTCTGTTCTTCTTAGATTAAAAGATATCTCATGGGAGAGAAGTGATGTGTTCTTTCTTAGAATGAAAGTAAAATTTATTGTCAAGCTCAGGGGAATTCCGCTCCTCAGACTGATGTTGTGGTGCCTCTGCTGTATTTCCTTATTCTGTGCTGTTGCAGATGTGCAGCCAGCCAGTGGTCAGTCAGCTGCTCAGCAACATACGCTCCCAGTGTATTTCCCATGCTGCTCTTGTGCTTCAGGGTGCCCTCACTCAGCCCAGGTCAGTGCTTACAGAATGTGGAATGACCCGTTTTATCATCTTTAATTCTGAGCTTCTCAACAAAGTATGTGAAAACATTACTTCTTAATTCTTTCTGTGCGTAATACGTTAAGATACATGGACATAGCAAACAGAACATGTAACACTGTGCGCGCGCGCGCGCGTGTGTGTGTGTGTGTGTGTGTGTGTGTGCGCGCGCGCACTGATCAGGCATAACATTATGACCACTTCCTTGTTTCTACCCTCATTGTCCATTTTATCAGCCCCACTTACTATATAGGTGCACTTTGTAGATCTACAATTACAGACTGTAGTCCATCTGTTTCTCTGCATACTTTGTTAGCCCTCTTTTAGCCTGTTCTTCAGTGGTCAGGACCCCCATGGACCCTCACAGAGCAGGTATTACTTTAGAGGTGGATCATTCTCAGCCCTGCTGTAACACTGATGTGGTGGTGGTGGTGGTATGTTAGTGTGTGTTGCGCTGGTACGAGTGGATCAGACACAGCAGTGCTGCTGGAGTTTTTAAACACCTCAATGTCACTGCTGGACTGAGAATAGTCCACCAACCAAAAATATCCAGCCAACAGCGTCCTGTGGGCAGCGTCCTGTGACCACTGATGAAGGACTAGAGGATGACCAGCACAAACTGTGCAGCAGCAGATGAGCTGTTGTCTCTGACTATACTTCTACAAGGTAGGCTAACAAGGTAGTAGTGTCTAATAGAGTGAACAGTGAGTGGACACAGTGTTTAAAAACTCCAGCAGCACTGCTGTGTCTGATCCACTCGTACCAGCACAACACACACTAACACACCACCATCACATCAGTGTTACTGCAGTGCTGAGAATGATCCACCACCCAAATAGTACCTGCTCTGTTAGGGTCCATGGGGGTCCTGACCACTGAAGAACAGGGTAAAAGGGGTCTAACAAAGTATGCAGAGAAACAGATGAACTGCAGTCTGTAATTGTAGAACTACAAAGTGCACCTGTACAGTAAGTGGAGCTGATAAAATGGACAATAAGCATAGAAACAAGGAGGTGGTCATAATATTATGCCTTAACAGTGTATAATCAAAGGATCTATTGGAACAGACAAAAAATCCATAGTTGTGGCTTCACCCATTACAAAAATTGTATCAAAATCTGAGTGCATTATAGTAGCTTCACATACCGTACTGCATTAAATGCATTTAGTCAGGACTAATTATGCTTTCTAATAAAACATGCAGTTAGTCAGTTAGTGTACTTTAAGTATTGATGATATCCACAATATGCTCAGAAAAGCTCTTATTGTGATGTAGTTAATCACAATAATGAAAACATTGTCACATTGCCTAGGGGTGGGTGATAAGGCACAAATATCTAGTAGGGCCTAAGGACATTTTCACAATACATAACACAGCACTTTGACAGTCAAGCACTAATGGTGCTGCACTTAAAAACTGCAAATACAGTGACATTTATTCAAGATTTCACATACTGCACTGCACTCCCTTGTGTGCAGACGTGAATGCTTTACATGTTACCTTATTATTTAAGGTTTTCATTTTATTAACAAGGCCCAACTGAGACAAGTGTCATGATTTAACAGTGTGGATAAAATGCACATGAACAGCAATAAAATATTCATACTGAAGTGCCGCAAGATTGCTGCGCTATGCATGATTTTGCCAAATATTGTGTCTCTAAAAATCATTACAGATATATCATAACTTTTTGATATAATGCCCAGCTCCTAATTTGACTCATCCCTGAAAAGAGATGTGTTTCTGCTAGTATATTTGATGCATTTGAATTTAATGTGATATAGACACTCCTTTCTAATCCTTCCTAGGGCTCCACTGCAGCCCTCCCTACTAGTCCCCTACATGCTGTGCCGGAACCTTCCATACGGCTTTATCCAGGAGCTGGTGCGCATGACTCACCAGGAGGAGGAGGTGTTTAAACAGGTGGGAGGTGCAGCGCACGCCACATGCTGATTCATTTTGCGCTTGAAGCTGTGGAGGAAGATAATAATTGATGTGGCATTCTCCATGGAATTAAATGTGTTTTTTGAAGTGCCGGAGATGTTTTAGTGGAAAAACTGAGTAAATCATTTTCAACACCCAATAATCCTTGCTATGAAAGCATATCCTTATTTAACCCTGGTCATATCCAATATCTGTCTCTTTGAAATGTTCTTCTTACCGTCATAATGAGATTGTGGTGGTGTTCAAACAGAGGCTGCTGTTTGCTAGAATAAGGGAAGTTCCTTAGTCATGCTGATCATGAATTTGTTTGTTTCTCAGTAGTACTGGTGTAGTATTCTCCTCCTTTCCCCAGTATCCCACTGTGATCAGCGTTCTTTCTTTTTGCAGATTTTCGTCCCCATTCTCCAAGGGCTCGGTTTAGCTGTGAAAGAATGTTCCTTTGACAGTGACAACTTTAAGTACCCCCTGATGGTAAGAGAAGGAAGACTGTCCAAGGCTTAATGGTGCTTCCTCTGATGTCGTCCTGTGACAGCCCATCCCCATGAAAGCTTTTGATAAGTGGCTGAATGAAAATTGTTCTCTTTCTCATCATAGACTTTTATGTCCCAAAACTGCTGGATTGAATTGAATCTCGTATCATAAAATGCTTCACAAACTGTGGTTTGTGTCTCAGACAGATACAGCTTGTAAAAAGGCATGATTTATAAAAAACAGTCAACATGAAGGCTCAGTAAAACACTTGGAGATGAGACAACTTGATGCAGCTTTTCAAAAGAGAAGTGCACACTAGCTAGTTTCCATCTTCATGTTTATGCGAATTTTGACACACAAAAAAAACGGTTTGACGGACACAGCTAATTTTTAATTAAAGCAGTAGAATCTGTAAATGTGAGTAGAATAAAGTCATATGACTTACATGTTTCCGTTTTTGTTTAGCCATAACTATAAAATATGACAGAGTAGACTAATGAACAAACTAAAACATATCGTAATCTTATTGAAGAAAAAAAAACTTAACAGTAATATTAGAGCCATGATGTTAAACAAACATAAAATGCCTGATGCTAATGGACTTTTCTTGAGCGTTATGTTTGCTTGTACTTTCTATTTTCATGCTCTTATGAGTTTTTGTAAAATAACCATGAAATTGAGCAGCAGTAAAAAGTTGCCTAACATTAAAGTTTTCTTTGTAAATTCTGCCCATATTTCTCAAAATTGTTTTTACAAACTTAAGAGTTTTATGCTCTTGTACAGAGCTGATAGAAGAACAGCCTTTTTTTCCACACACTTTAAACTTAATTTGACAGCTGGCTGGCCTGACTGCTGTGACTAGTTCAGCTTTTCTTACATCTGACATCTATTAACGTTTTGTTTACAGGCTTTAGCCGAACTTTGTGAAATCAAGTTTGGAAAGACACATCCTATGTGCAATTTGGTAAGTTTTGGTAAGGTTTCGTGGTTTTCAGGCTAAGGATGGGCAATATGACAGTATATTTATCGTTATTGTGATTAATTACATCACAGTATGCTTTCTAAGCATGTTGTAGATCTCGTCAATAGTGCAAGAACACTGACCAACTACATGTTTTTTTTAAAAAAAGAAAAAAAGGGGACAGCATATTTGAACAGTTTCCTTCCAAAATGCAATGTAGACATTTTCCCAAGATCTCTTTTTGTCCCATGATGGACATTGGGAGTGGGCTTTACACATACGAAAAATATCAGTGATGTTATGATTAATACCGCCTTTATTAGAGAAACAAAAATGTGTTCTCCATAGGACATCAGCTGTTATTCTTTTTTTATAAGCTTATAATATCCAATTTGTTAAGAATTGCAAATCAAATCATGGCATTTTAGAAGGAAACTTTTTTTTTTGTTGGTGGATTTACTGCAGAACTGTATGTAAAAAAAAATAATAATAATAATAATAATAAAAAAATAATAATAATTTTACTCAGTTTTTGATAATATTTTTTAAGTGTTGCACCCCTGGGGCTTTTTGTCTGTACCAATCTATCAAAGCTTAAAAATTGACATGTTGTAATACTAACTGGTTATTGTGAGAATGTCAAGGTATTGTGATATTTTTTTTTTCCTTTCATATTGCCCACCCCTATTTCATAGCATTACAAAATTCAGACTTGCCAGGTTGTTGGACTAACTAGATTAAACATGAACAGTTGTTGTATAATTTTCTTGGCTTTATTGATTTGTTGCAATTGTAATAAAGTCTTGGACCTATGAGATGCTAACATTTAAAGGAGAAAGAAAAGTACTTATGAAAAGTACTTGACTGTGTGTGTCTGTGTGTGTGCACGCACATATGCATAGATCACGTCTCTGCCACTGTGGTGTCCTGATCCTTTGAGTCCTGGAGCGGGCAGAGAGATTCAGAGACTCTCTTTCCTTGGAGCCTTCTTCAGTCTTTCTGTCTTTGCGGAGGATGATGTGAGTCACTTTAATAATAGCGTACAAAGTTTTAACAAGGCAAAAAAAGCACATAAGCACACTGCATTCATTGTGCTGAAGTTTATTGTTAATGTGTCATCTTGTTCAAAAGTGATTCCTAACGCATCAGATGCTGTTTTGTTAGACTAAGGTGGGAGACAAGTACTTCTCAGGCCCTGCCATTACCATGGAGAATACGCGTGTGGTCAGTCAGTCCCTGCAGCACTATCTGGAGTCTGCCAGGGTAAGTGCTACAGCTCAGGCGCTCATGCATTTTTAATGAGCTGGTTCAATCAATCAATGGAACACTGGCTAGAAAATTCTTTTTATAGTGCGTGTTGCACTGCTAGTAGATAGCCTCGTCATCTCTTATTAGCCCTTAGGGCTAAATGGTGTTTTACTGTGACATCTGAGGTCAGAATGGATTTCTGGCAAATGAGACCTGCAAGCTGATTTTTTTTTTTTTGCAGTTGCAGTCCCTTGGAGGAATAATACCTAATCAAATTAATTTAATTATGCTGTCACAAATTTGTTCATATTTGTGGGTTAAGAGTCTGTGATTATGGGTTTGTGGTCCTCAGGGTGACCTGTTTAAAATCCTCCACAACATCTTACTGAATGGAGAAACGAGGGAGGCTGCGCTAAGCTACATGGCAGCTCTGGTGAATCGTAATGTGAAGAAGGCCCAGATGCAGGTATGACTCATTTCTGATTAGGATTTTCTCTTGAAAAATGAGGGAGAAACTGCTATGCAGCTATACATACTTGATATCAGTGAGCATTCTTTCTTGGAGTATTGCTCTGTAGTCTGTATGTGACATTTGATGTATTGCAACTACATGTCCAAATGTTTATAGACACTCCTTGTAATTAGTAAATTGAGTTACACTAAGATGCACGTATTGCTGATCATTCAGTTGCATCCACACAGCTTATATAATCTCTGTTGTAAAGCAGTGGCAATAGAACAGAACTTAGAATAGAACAGGAATAGAGCTTGAAAACCTTTCACATACCTTTTAGATGAGTAGAAGTGACATTTGTGATCATTAATCACTAATCATTCAACATCAGTGCCTGGCGTCACTAATGCTGTTGTGACTGAATGCAGTCAAATCCTTACAGCAATGTTCCGAAATCTAGTGCAAAGCCTTCTCAGAAGAGTAGATGCTGTTACTGCAGCAAAGGAGGGATAAAATCCCTATAAATACCCTCAGAAGAAACATTGGATGAGCAGGTGTCTACAAATTTTTGGACATATAATGTGTATTAGGGAAGAGCAAAATGGACAAAATACTAATAATGTGATTATATTGCTACATAATTTGATAGGGATATGTCCATATTAAAATGCATTGGTGAATGTATGACACAGCATATTTGTTTGCTGACATTGTGACCAAATCATTTTTGTTAAATTACATTGACATTTTCTATAATCAAAAATGCTCATCTGAAACTATTAATGGCCAAAAAGAAAACATTGTAAATGGCTAGTGGGCTCATTTGCATATTGTAGCCCTCTGCAGGATCAGCAGTATCATTAATATCACTGCAAAGGCCAAGATTGGTATTACAAGTAGCAAACAATATATTGTGCAGCACTAACATAAGCTATTTTTTATTATTCTCTTGGAATTGGCTGCAGACGGATGATAAGCTAGTGTCCACAGATGGCTTCATGATGAACTTCCTGTGGGTGCTGCAGCAGCTAAGTATGAAGATTAAACTTGAGACAGTGGACCCCCTCTACATTTTCCATCCCAAGTGTCGGTTGAATGTGAGCCTTGAGGAGACCCGGCTCAAAGCCACCATGGAGGAGCTGAAGAGCTGGCTAGCAGACCTGCGTGAGTAAATGGCTAACGTAACTCATATGTTCAACAATAAGACTTTTTTTCTAACCTTCAGAAGTCTTGAATTATTGTCATTTTGCTGTAGTGTTTCCGAAATGTTTAAAATCAAGACTTTTACTTTGTAATTAATACAAAACGACAGTATGCTGTGCATAAAGGTTTAACCTTTATGTAATAACACTGTAAAAATGAATGCAAGTAGATTAAATAAGGTGCTTTATTTCTACAGTGTTTGTACACTGGTTTAGTTTTTAGAAGATTGGGAATAAAAAATGTACAAATCTGTATTGAAATTGCAGGTTTTACCATTCAAGCCAAAAACTTCAACCTTTGTTCCATCAGATAGTTTGGGTGATTTAATGTATTTTTGCAAACTAATTAGGTTTGGATTATCCTTTTGGATTATCATTTTGGCCTGTTGTAGGTTTTTTTCACTCTTCAGTTTTTTTTTTACTGATTTGTTTCTTTTTAATGAATTGAAAGGAGGAAAATGTCTAACGTTACTAGTATCTGTAGCATATCTTTGATATCCTCTCCATGTTCAACTGTAGATGAAGACCCGACCAAGTTTTCTGAGCCCAAGTTCCCTACAGAATGTTTCTTTCTAACGCTACACACACATCACCTGTCCATCTTGCCTGGGTGCCGGCGTTACATCCGCAGACTAAGAGCCATCAGAGATCTAAACAGGTATGAGTATATATGTACATGTTAAAATTGATGTGCAGAAGCATGCTGAATGCTTCAGAACCTTGTTGTAAGTCTTTTGCATCATGCTTTTGAAATTTTCCAGAACCTCTTGGTAGGTTGCATACTGTTTATGCTGTGCTGACTATGAAGCTTGGCTGACTGTCTATAAAAGCTTTGCTGGTGGTAGCCAAGAGTGATTTTATTATTTTGTTTTTTTCTGGCTGTACTAATATTTTATTGTTTCCAAACACTGCCTGAAATAACAGCTTATATGGGTTAGTGCCGCATTAGTGGCAGTCGTTCAAGCCCCTCACGTTAAAAGTAAAGGCCCTAGAGGAGGCTGATCACATTAGCTGCCTTTTTTCTGAAGCCAGCGTCTCCTGAATGGCTAGTTCCCCCTACTGTTGGCAACTCTCATAACACTCAGCAACAATTATACATGGTGTTTTTTTGGTCAGAGTGGGGGTTATTTGAGGTAACTGTGTGTGTGTGTGTGTACACTGCAGGACTGTGGAGGAGCTGAAAAACAGTGAGAGCCAGTGGAAAGACTCACCCTTGGCTAGTCGTCACAGGGAGATGCTGAAGAGATGCAAAACCCAGCTTAAGGTTTGCGATGCTTAAAATCTGCTGCACTTCTCTATGCAAAATAAATGAATAAATAAATAACATAAGGTAATACATTAGCAATAACAATACTAGCAAATAAAATTTGTGCATGTATTTCTAAAATGTGAACTTTAAACTTGCAATGTATACAAGTAATATGCCAGCACAACTATACAGAGAGATCCAATCAGAGCTCATCTGTGATACATCGAGAGAAAGCAGACCAATCAGAATAATTGGTCTGGGCAGGACAAAGCCAGAGACTAAATGTGAATGCAGGAGAATGCGACAAAATGCTTTTTACAGCGAAATGATACTTATCTTTCTGATTTCCAAAAATTGCAAAAGGTAGGCTAAGGTGGCAGCAGCGGTGACAGATAATGACAGCCTACAGAATTTCCTAATAACAGATTTTACATATGTGTATATTCATATGTATCATGAGAATCTCCAGTTCACACACAGTGTCTAGTTGTGCTTATACACTGTATTGTCCCATTCTCTCCAAAGGTGCACACTAACCCTTTGAGAATAAACCCTTGTGTATATATAAGCTTAAAAAAGACTTAAAGTAGCCCTGTAATGCATGCCTCCAATACAATCAGCTGCGTGATCAGTTAGAGTTGGACAAAGTTTTATCTATCCACACAGTGGTGGTTAGACCTAACACTAGAGACAGTGCAATTTCCAAAAATGTAGTGATGAAATGTGTCAGATAAGCTTCAGTATGCACCAGTTAGTACTGAATTCCACAAGGAATACTACAGACAATTTATAAATAGGACCGACAAGCACAACATAGGAAAGAAAAGACATTTGGTGAAACAGATTTGTATTTAACATGACACCATTTCTGCTTACACTATACCCCTTGTAAATAACTTGATTTTAAGAGAACAGAATAATTTAGCAATGTAACCCACCTGTCAGTGGTCTGTCTGTCTGTCAGTTAGCCTCTGTTCACTGAACTGGTTCCACCCTGTGTCAAGGTGAATAATATATGAATGAATTGTGACTTTGATTATATATCTATACATTAAGTAATATTTATTACAGCTATATACGCACTTAGTGTGCTAGCGCAGCTCACAAGCTGTTAAATGCTCTGGTTTATTGCCCTGATGGTGATTGTCTGAAAAAGGAAATAAAGAGGAAAAAAAGGAAAATACGAGACATTTAATAGACAGCTTTGTTTAGTTTGTAAAGTTCATGGGCAAACGTGAAAAAACTGAAAGCTATCGCAATCACAAAACCTAGAGTCTGTAATAGCGAGTTTTTACTCAGTTTCAAGCCAGGAATCGATCAACTCCTAAACAAAAACAGATGGCAAGACTCAGCCCACCACCTACTAACATTTTCAAACTAACCACATTCAGTGACACCATCAGAAGGTTCTTGAAGTTAATGCATTGTCTGGCTGTCAGTAATGTTCTATGGCTTTTGTTGTGCTTGTAGAAACTGGTGCGCTCTAAGGCTTGCGCTGACGCTGGCCTGCTGGATGAGAACCTGCTGCGCAGATGTCTCCAGTTCTATAGTATGGTCATTCAGCTCATCCTGCGCACGGTGGACCCTATCTACCCAAAGTTAGTCGCTTTCCATTTACTTCTAATTGCCCTGACCCACTAAACCAACTGTCAGCCGCTGTCAAGCCCACATTAAGTGTCCGTGTCTGACCGTCAACCATAAGTGATGTGGTGTTCCACGCTGTTGGCACTAGTTAGTCCTTGGAGTCAGAGGCTGGTAGTGAGAGAGACTGCTTTGATTAGCGAGGGCTGGGTTTCCAAAATGAATCTTTGCACAAAAAAATGATTATGTGCATCACAGTGAACTCTCTCAACCAGTTCACTCCTAAGATGATTTGGTTTAGTGTAAGTGCTCAAAAAGTGAGCAAAGCAGGCAAACTAGTTAGACTGGTTTGTTTGTCCGTGATTCTAATCACCTGTTTCAGTTCCGGTTTTTAATATGCCTTCATGTACTTGGCCTCAGAGGGGTGAAACATTAAGGGGACACTTATATAATAATATAATTGTTTTGAAACCATAACATTCAAGTCACCGTGATTACACTATGTTTAAGATTGCAAACTACCTGATCTAGGACTGCTAATACTTTTGCTTGACCTTGCTTGCTTGGTTATTAGCAAGCTAAAGGCTACACAGCTAGCTTGAAAAATGGCAAAATACCACAGTTTATAATTACTATTATGTACTTGATAAAGATTTTACACAAAGCACAAATAATTATATAAACTCAATTAAAGCAGCATTTAAAGTACAGTTGGATCGCTCCATGTTTGTCCATCCTCTCTGGGTGTGACTGCGGTGATGTCGCTTCAGAATATTTAAAAGACCTCCTGGGTAGCACACACTGAAGTATCCTTCGGTGTAAGCCGCTTTGGCGGGAGTTTTATGCGGCTGCTCTGGTCTCCTCTGGTTTTTTTCTGACAGCCGGTAAGACGGTTTCACAAAATCTGTTTCCGCCTCACAGAGGAGAGGAGGAAGATCAGTAGGAAAAAGCAGTAACTTTCAATGTTTCTGGACGCAGCCCTAGTGTCATTCTTGCCCGCACTTGACCACAAAACTTAGCTTTTTTTTTTTTTCCCCCCTGTGCTTGCCCGATTCAACCATATGCCTTTCTCAACCACACTGGCCTTCTTTGGGCTATGCCTGTGGTCCTCGTCCACTACCATCTACATTTGCCGTAATATGTTCTTCTAGTGTAGGTCATGTCCACTTAACCCTCGTGACACGGCCGTTCAGCCCCATACAGACCCATGGTACCACCATGCACGCAACCATATCTTTTTATCTGTGTCAACATTATGTAAATTAGCTAATAACTCTATAAGACATTTCCGGTCAGCCAAAATTAAATTAAAGCCAAAATAGATGAATTTGCCCCCGGGTACTTATGGAACTCAGGGGTGGCATTGTCTGGGTGGTGGTTAAAAAAATATAAAAAAGGGTTAAGTCTTGTGTGTGGTTTTCTTTCTATTATTGTATAAGCAGACCACTGCCACCTTTTGGTTTGTTCAAAAGCAGGTTTTTACAGAAGAGGTGCGATGGAAGGCGATCATCAGTCGGCCTTGATTGGCGCCTGTTTCTTTGATGTTGGGTTTGTGTGTCAGGGTTCTAAAACTTTGCCTTTGCAGGTTCTTCTGTACACACATGATCTTAATCTTATATGTCACTTTCTGTCAAAACCTGTTACAGTGTCAGCCTCCCCCTGAGTCCTGAGGTTCCCAAGAGCTTCGCCGCACTGCCCGAGTTTTACATTGAGGATGTTGCAGAGTTCCTGCTTTTCATTGTGCAGTAAGTTGATCATGGTGCCTGTGGTGTATAGAAGAAATAGTACTGTCTCCAAGAGGAAGAGGGGAAATAGTGGTTTGTGCCTAAACTAACCTCTTTTGCTTCTGTGGGAGTATATGAGCTTCCGAAGATGTAACTGCATTCTTTTTTCTAGGTATTCTCCTCAGGTTCTGTATGAGCCCTGCACTCAGGACATTGTGACCTTCCTGGTCGTGTTCATCTGCAGTCAGAACTACATCAGGAATCCCTACCTGATTGCTAAGCTGGTGGAAGTGTTGTTTGTTACTAACCCAGCAGTTCAGCCCCGCACCCAACGCTTCTTTGAGATGATTGAGAACCACCCTCTGTCTGTCAACCAGCTGGTCCCTGCTCTCATGAAGTTCTACACAGGTTAGTAGGCACTGACTTAGATCAATGTGGTTCATTTGTGTTATTTTACATTATTACCTGTTCGTATGGGGACTTTTGCTAGTTGTTTCTGCCCATGTGTTATCATATGTTTCACACAAAATTCCTTTTTTAAGTTTAAAAAGAAACCCCTGTGCTGAATGTTGTTTTGCCTTAACCATCAGATGTGGAGCACACTGGAGCCACTAGTGAGTTTTATGACAAGTTCACCATCCGCTACCACATCAGCACCATCTTTAAGAGCCTTTGGCAAAATATTGGCCATCATGGCACCTTCCTTGAAGAGTTCAAGTGAGTTTGTTTCCTAATGTGTGCCATTGTTTTCTGAATGAAGTAAGAAATGCACAGTAACGTGACTGAACCTGCGATATCAAAGGATACTGACTGATGATTCATTTATGTGTCAAAATTATATCTTATTTTAATTTGTCCACTTTTTATTGCCCTGTAGCTCTGGGAAGCAGTTTGTTCGCTACATAAACATGTTGATCAATGACACGACATTCCTGCTGGATGAGAGCTTGGAGTCACTGAAGCGCATTCATGAGATCCAGGAGGAGATGAAGAACAAAGAGCAGTGGGACCAGCTGCCCAGGGTGGGTGGACAGTAGACCACAAATGTCTCACAAATTTATCTTTGTCCTCAGTTAAACATTTAAGTGAGGATTTTCAGTTAAAAAGCCTTTTTATTATATGACTAGGTTGTAATGGGCAGTATTGATAACTGTTAAAAAAAAAAAATGACTGTTTTTTCAAAGTATCACCTAGCAAATAACATAAATTGTAGTTATCTACATTTTTGTTCTGTGTCAGTGCTAAATCTAAAAGTCAGTGGTGTTGTGTGGTACCATTATAGATATACTGGTGGAGTAGCCAGTAGTAGAACATAGTTTTATGCAGAAGTTTGCAGATTTTTTTTTCTTCTCCCAGCATGTAAAACTGAAAAAAATAAATAGCCAATAAATAAAAATAGTGCACTACAGTTTGCAGAAAATGCCGTATTTCTGTTCCCTGTTAAGGTTCATTTGACAAGGGCATTTAAACCTTTGCATACGACCGTGTGACTAGGGACTAGGTCAACACTATGACTAGGTCTATTCTAGAAAAAGGGAACTCCTAGGTTTAGACTGACCCATCACATGATCATTTGTGTTGCTGCATTAGTCCACTTGCTGTGCATTGACTTGAATGGTCATCTTCTCAGGAACAGCAGCAGAGCCGCCAATCCCAGCTGACTCAGGACGAGAGGGTATCACGCTCCTACCTGGCCTTAGCCACAGAGACTGTAGACATGTTCCATATTCTCACCAAGCAAGTTCAGAAGCCTTTCCTCCGGCCTGTGAGTCCTCACTTTCTGCCTCTGTGCTGGCTGCTTTAAATACACTCTGTTGCCAATCGATATCAGACAAGCTCAATAAATACAAAAAAAAGGAGTGCCTCCTAGTGATTTCTGCACAATGCACAATTGACGTATAAGCATATGGGGCAGGCAGCAATATTATCAAGATCAACCTAACTCTATATCTGGGTTTGAAGAGGGGTTAACAGCAGGCAGGTGATAATGCAGATACCTCTGAGTAAGTCATCTTGGTAAATAGGTAAACGGCAGAGGATTAGCACACTCCTGCTGTGCTGTAAACAAACCTCCCGCCCTCCGATCCCTGCAGGTATTTTTAGTCTCATCTGAAAGTTGAGCTGCTGCCAGTCATTGCATGAAGATTATTTAGAGAGCACAAGGAAAGAGTGACATTTACTCAAATAAGTGAAAACAGTATGTGGGGGCTAAATATACAGTTTGCACTGAAGTGCAATTCTTTTTCTGTGGTCGCTGACAGGGGCCCTGACACTGATGAATAAAACTCTTTTTTGTGATTGCTGAGAGAGATTCTGATGTATTGCAGGAGCTTGGCCCGCGTCTGGCTGCTATGCTGAACTACAACCTTCAGCAGCTGTGTGGGCCTAAGTGTCGGGACTTGAAGGTGGAGAACCCAGAGAAATACGGTTTTGAGCCCAAGAAGCTGTTGGACCAGCTCACTGATATCTACCTTCAGCTGGATTGTGCTCGCTTTGCTAAAGCCATTGCAGATGATCAGGTGAGCACTAGTTTACTTACACCTCGAGTAACAGCAGAAAAGACATTTTAGTTCAAGGATTTAGTGTAAACTTTCAATTCAGCTACACTTTAAGAAGCCCAGATATATTCTCTGAGACAACATAGGCCCCCTTGACGACTGGTTATCCGATCATGAGTGAACATCAATAACGCCAAGTACAGTTGGGAATGGGATCCAGTGTGGCTCGCCAACGGATTGTGATCCAGTCACTCAAACCACTGTTCAAAGTGCTCAGGGATGATTATGACCATAGAGCATTTGTAGTGTGATTGCTGAAGCGTCTCAGTGCATCCCCAACAAAGGACTGCTGAATAAACTGTCATCATAGCAGATATTAAAGCAGGTTTAGCTTCTTTCTTGGTTTTATCTCCTGTTTTTCTGCAAGTTGTGTTAACAAGTTGTGTAATCTAAATGTTTGTTTTAGCCTTTATGTTTACATGAACCCATGTTCACACGAAGACCCGCAGGATATATGTGTCAAGAGACTAACATAGTAAATATGTGGTGCACCCGTCCTCCTGTCACAAAATAAGTGGTTCCTGGAGATCGATTTAAGATATGGGAGTGCCTTGTGTATGAATGGCTTTGTCTTGCTGTCCATTTGTGATCAGATCACCCAAGATAATTTTATTTATTTATTTATTCATGCCCTTGTTTTGCAGAGATCATATAGTAGAGAACTCTTTGAAGAAGTCATCTCCAAAATGAGAAAGGCAGGCATCAAGTCTACAATTGCAATTGAGAAGTTCAAGCTGCTGTTAGAAAAGGTGGAGGAGATTGTGGCTCGCAACTCTCAGTCTGAGATGGACTACAGTGATGCTCCGGATGAGTTTAAAGGTGAGTGTTGAACGTTTGTGATTGTGCTTTGTTTGCTTCAAGTTCTGTGGTTGACAGAGTAACTGCTGTGACTGCAAGATCAGGCCCAGGGCCGGTAACCACAGAGTGAATCCAATCTGCTAACAGAATGCAGGGCACATGCTTCCTTTGATTCTCTGCTATGCCCCCTGCAATCTTAGCATACTAGTAAAGTGTGTCAAGGGTGGAAAAAAAAAGTCAGCCTGTGGCTTTAAGGTCAGGCCTGTTTCACATGCTTTATGTTTAATTCACATGCAAATAAAACTTCTCATGACCATTTCATATTAAATGTCACTTTTTTTATTTATATTTTTTTATTCTTTAGACTGGCTTATGTTTTTTTGTAATTATTTTTATCAAAATGGTCCTGAATTAACTTCAGTTCTTAGTATTGGAAGTGGTGTCTAGCAATAATTTTTCCTTATTGCATTAGCTGCTTTTTCCATAGGCCAGTTTACACTTGGCATTAACATTTATTCATTGTGAGACAGTCTGATAAAGATATGACACGTGTCATTTCCGTTTTATGGGATTTTTGCAGTGCTGGAGCACAAGAAAGGTTTTGGGTCCAAAATGCTTCATTAAACATTTTTAGTTGCGGTGCAGAACATTCCATTTTAAGCTACAGAGAAAGAATAGCGGGCTATGTGTGTTTTGCATAGCAGCCGGGACTGAACCACAGTTGAAAGATAAATATGGGTTAAGGTTTACAGCTGAGGCTGGGGGAGAACTGTGTGCTGTGCTCCACAGGCTAACAACTTTTCCACTTTAATGTTTGCAGAAAATGCTGTATTTTTGTCTATGTTTAAATATCTCTGCATATGACTAAAATAACATGTTTAGTGAGAAAGACAGGAACTATACTGAAAGTTGTGGGTGAAGGGCATGTGACTTTAAACTGTGAATGTAGCCAGTCTCGCTACATTGCATCTATGCACACACACACACACACACACACACACACACACACACACACACACACACATATATATATATACACAGATTCAGTCGCAATAAATACATAATATACATAATGCTGTTCTTTGTCCACCATGTGACAGACCCTCTGATGGACACTCTCATGACTGACCCTGTGCAGTTGCCTTCTGGAAACATAATGGACCGAGCTATCATCCTACGCCACCTCCTCAACTCGCCCACCGACCCCTTCAACAGACAGCCTCTCACTGAAAGCATGCTGGAGTCAGGTACAAAAACAGACCCTCTCTGCACAAAAACATGACCCTTCCAGTATCGTATTGATCCTTTCCCTTATTGCATTGTTTCATATTTGAATTACACAAGTTTTAAAATGCGTGTTATCTTCTTCAGTTCCAGAACTGAAGGAGCGTATCCATGCTTGGATGAGGGAGAAACAAGGAGGACGCTTTTGTCAGTGAGCCACGCTTGCCGCCAGTTTAGGGATGGTTCCACTGCTCCACAGTTCAACATGGAGCAGACTGAAGGGAATAAAGCAAAGAAGAAAAAAAACTGTCATGAAACCTAATTTGATTTTTCTCCCTTATCCTTTTTTTTTTCTCGGGCCGTCAACTTAAAGGCTCTTGGTTCTAAATTGAAGCATAATAATAAAGTTTAGACTTTTAAAAGGTTTTGCTTATGACTTTGTATATATGACAGATATTTAATTGAGTGATTGAATAGCAATGTGTAGAGAGACTAGGTTTCACAGCCTAGAACTATCAGCAGAGAAAATTGGATATATTCAAATATTACTACAAAAATCAAATTGGTCCACATTCTTTCTTTTTTTTAAGGTGTTGCATTTGACTTTGAGGATTAATTTTGATGGTTTTGTGTTAAAGGAGAATGTTAAGGACGGAGGACAGGAAACCATGTCATGCTCTTCTGAATTACATTGTTAATCTGCAACCTTAGAATTTGAGTGCTTGGGCTAAAACACATCACTAATTATTGGTCACAGACTTTGTTTACAAGCCCTGGTCTCAAATGTGCCCTCTACCAATAAAAATGGGTTAAGAATTGAGGGGATACTTGCTTGAAATTAACACACTAGATTGTCTAGTAAAAAATACAAATGTAGGTGTTTATTGGATGGAAAAAAGGCAGTGAAGTTGATGATGCAATCTGTATTGAAAATATCCTTTTCCTTGCTGTTCACTTTGAATGGTCTTGTATGTATGGCCATCAGCATAAGGCCACCCAAGCACCTCATTTAACATTTCCATAGTGTTAAAGCTAAATCCTGAGCTCAGAAGAGAGTATGTGAATCAGTGCTCATAGCATGATCGTCATGAGGACAGTGCCACTGCACCAAATGTATTTTCTTTAATACATTCACGGTTTTATACATAGAAAAGGTTCATCAAATCCTGCTGTTCGTATTAACCCTGGCTGTTGGACGTTCACCGTGAATTATGAATGAGTCATTTTCCTGTGACAGAGTTTTAACTTGACAGGAATTTGCTTCCTTTGCTACAAACTTTTTTTGAACCGAGGACTTCAAACTGTAATAAATGGTAATGCACACACACAAACAGCTGTTGTAATTGCTTTTGTATGCAACTAGTTTTAGTGGGCTTATCAAGACTAGATGAATAATGTACAGTCTGCTTCTTATGACCAACATTTTGGAATATAATTAAAGGGGAAATACACTATTGCTTAAAATGTTTGCATGATTCAATCATTGAGATGTAAACAACACCATTCAGAGTATTTTGATGTAAAATGGTGCACTGTAGAGAAACTTGCACCTGCATAGTGAAGGGGAACTAGGGATGGCAGTGTATAGCCATTTTTGCTTTCCAAAACAACCAGTTTTAACCAGCACATGTTTTCTGAGTTTATATGTAATGTTAATAATGCTGTAATAGTGGTAAATCTGGGTGGAAAATTCTATAGGGACTATTTCTTTACAATGCCCTGCATGTACCTCTGCCATGAATGCATTTTAAACCTGGATTTTAGGCCAAAACCTTATTGTAAAACAATGTCTAGGGCATCAGACAAGATGTTCTAAACCATTTAAGGTATTGCCTTTCTGTGAAGTATCTTTTAGAAGCATTAAACACTTCTGGACGTCTGGTTCCAATCACCACTGCTGTAAACAACTCTGTCATGCTGGGTTTCTCTAGAATGAAGCATTTCACATCACACCACTCTGATTATGTTTACGTCTTAACCATTTTGTTATGCACACATTATGAAAAAATTATGTATTTTTAAACTCTTTTTTATGTATCCATTTAACTCTGACTTTAAATGGATACAAACTAAATTATGTATCCATATAAACTCAGATGTTACAGTGTTATGCAGATTTGGCATACCTGTTATGAACTTGTCCTGAGCACAAGCTTATCCATAAAACCAACTCAACCAAGTAAAAGAACCTGTGTTCGTAACGTATCACGAACAATAATTGAACAATGCAATCTTAGGATAGATGAGACGCGTTTTGCAGATGCATCACAGTGGCTTTTAAAATTCAGCCTTCCTCTTGTAGACACTCGATTTATCTGCTAGGCGGCGTCCTTCGCTTTTAAGGCAGCTCTGTTTCTCCATTTCCATGCCATGCACAACTGCAGGAGCTGTCCTGCAGTATTGCGTCACACGAAGCCCACCCACCGCAGGATTCCTTGACGCTGATTGCTCAGCTCGCACATTCCTCAACTGGTCGTCAAACGCTATTGGTCCAGAAAGCTGTCAGTGAAGGCGGTGACGGGGCAGTTGACGTAATGGTTTCAGTAAATCAAGGCATTCAGCCGTGTGTTAAAGTAGCAGGAGGACCGATTTTTTTTTCTCCCACACCAGCAATTAAAGCGTAGAAAATATACCGTAATTTGAACCTGCAGTAGAAGACCGAGTGGTGGACGATGAAATGCTGCTATAATGGGTGTATGTAGCAAAAGCCGGGTTATTAAGCATCTATCTGTCGGTTTAACGTTACTCTAATCGTTGCTGTCACCGATAGACATCAGTAGATTTTTTCTAGATTCGGTGTGGACATCCCGAGCATTCAGAGGTGAGTGAAATAACGTTACTGCATACAAAATCTGCCTAAACCGTTTAGCTCTTTCATCTGTTTTGCTGTAACATTAACGTTAAGTGTTGTAACGGTTACGGCTCGCGCTTGGGGACGACCGAAAGCTAACGTTAATGTTGACATTTTCGAAGACCGTTTATAAGACTGTTTATAAGCATAACATCGTCATTGTAACACAGCTTATGTGCAATTCTAAGCTTTTTAATTTAGTTTTTTTTTACTCACGAAAGTAACCCATAGACTGTAAAACAAACAAAAAACCGAGTTGCTGAAGGGAGATGGAGCCAGAACGGTCTATGCGCAAAGCTAACGTTAGTCATCCTTGCTAATAGTTCACTGCTAGCCTCATCAGAGCGAGCCACGTTAAAAGGTCATATCGACACAGCTGTCTTTTTATCAGTACGAAGAAAATATTGATTTTGCCTCTGATATCCTTAAGGATGTGTTACCTGGACCTGATAACGCTGTTAAATTGATTAGTTAGTATAGCTGACAGTGTGTAACGTTAACAGGACTATAGTCCGGCTAGGCTTTGCTGCTGGATACTGCAACAGCACAGCAGTCTATGCTGGACTTAGCTAATCTCTTAGGTTGGTTTTATCTAATGAAAACTCGCTTGCTTTGATTTGGTATTTTTAAACCAAGGAACTGTGTTTTTCGGGTGCTGGGAGCCATGAGAGCCCCCCCTACTTTATAGTAGATTAGGTTACTTTTGTTGTCTCCGGCCCAGTCGACAAATTTATGGGCGTATGCTTGTGGAAACGCTGACTACAAGGACAAGAATGAAAACAGCCTCATTTTGAAGTCCTGAGATGTAGATGTGACCGCAGACAGTGAGACCTGAAGCGGATAACTGCATGAAGCAGAAAACGCAGGGGGGAGAACAGCGGAGACGAGCGCTATTTTGCAGCCAGACTCCGTAAAGGCGCTGTGATGGATCCATCTCCAATATTAGTCCAGCAGCCGAGTTTATTGTCATGCCCGGCGTCTAGATAACTGTTTTATCGTTGCCGTAGGCATATGTGTATGATACAGTATATATGTCAAGGAGAATAGTGTTATTAATAGTGAACTGAGCTGGAGAAGTGGGCCCATCCCTACTGCAGTTTACTGGCAGCCATGTTTGAGGCGGAGAGGGAACCATCTAACGGCGAAGCTCCAAAATGCCATTCTGACTGACCAAATGTGAGATTATCTGCCCTGTTTATCTCGGGCTCATGAGACAAAACTTTTTTAAAAAATCAGTATACTATGTATTAGACAGCCCATTGTGCCTTTATTTGTGAGTCATCTACGTTTTTACGTAGGAATTTAATCGCACTCCTGTGAATCGGACGAATATTTCACTATTAGTATTGTTTGTTTGTTTTTTGATGACGCTTTATTTTGAGAGTCCTCTCTATATGTTTTGTACACGCTTAGCTTGTCTTTCAACTAATATCTATTGAGTGCAACTGAATTCTAAATTGGATGTAATAGATTTTATTAACTCTAACTCTGAACCTAACACTAACCTTAAAGGGCCCATATCCTACATTTTTCTTGTGCTTTATTTTTTTTTAAATCTAAGTAATCTTTTTTCTGATTGGCTGACGTGTGTTGTGCCTCATTCATAAACCAGTACAGACTGATGCATGCCTTTTAACTTTAACATGAATGGGTGGAGCTAAACTGCGAATTTATCTGACCGTGTTGGTTTTTGTGACGTCAGAAAAACTATGAATGTAAAACGGGCTGTTTTTGCAGTTAGTTTCTGTATGTGGACAGTATAGACAGGGAAATGAATGGTACATTTTGAAGCTTTAACATCTGCTCGAAATGTAAGCCTAATCCTAAACCTAGCCTTAATGCAGCTGGTAATGAAGAGAGTTTCATCAGTTGCTTAGTTAACAGTTTGAGCATTTGCTCATGATCTATCTGGTACGGACAATATAAAGTGTGACCAAATTTTTTAAATGACATACATCAACTATTGAATAGTGTAGTCAATTATTTGTCCACTATATGAAGCTTCCTAATACCAGGGTAGATTAGTTGAGGTCTTTTTAAAGATTATTTGTCTGAAAACAATACCTTCAGATAGTTCAATCATTGTCATACATTCTTCGGGCCTCTGGCTTATCTGTGACGCTAACACTTTCTATTTAAGATTGATGAGATGAGGCTAGATAATGTAGATTTATCATGCTGGGATGTGTGCAAGTCAGTATGCTTGGTTGGAGCTTAACACTTACCAGCTTAACAATTTAAAAATGAAAGAATATGGATTTTTTTTGTCTGTTTGTTTTTGCAGGGGTCATTTCAGTGGGATCGCTTTGTGACAAACCACAACTCCAACAATGTCCGGGGCTTCAGTGAAAGTTGCTGTCCGAGTGCGCCCCTTCAACTCAAGGGAGACCAGCAAAGAATCAAAATGCATCATTCAGATGCAAGGGAACTCCACCAGTAAGTATTGTTGGCTGCTTCTCATTTACCCTGCATGTATCCTGTTCGCTGCTTTTGATGTGGAATGTTGGCTATGTAATGAATGGCTGATGACATTCTGTCACATGCCTGCAGGCATGTGCATGTGAGGATAGGTTTATGCAAGGCTTTGGGGTGAAAAGCTAGCTGGGAAATAGGCCTACATTTTGAGAAACAGTACAAAACAGTAACGTGAGCATGCCAGATGATAGAGTTGTGGTGAAGAAGATATCAGTTTGAAGAGGACAAAAAAGTCAGTGTGAATTCCAGTTTTACAGAGAGTGAGAAGGGATGGAGTTTGTGCCTGGGGTAGGGTGGTATCAGAAGTGCTGAGCTGTTCTATTCTGAAGTCTCTGTATGGCTCACTCCTGGGGCTCAGGCTTCCTATTCATTAGTATAGGCCTTAGAGAAAGAGAGTGTTAGTGGACTGTTTACTTTATCGTGACATGCAATGAACCAGTGAAAGGAAATGAGAAGATCTTATCCTGTGTGAGGCCTTTATCACTAGCTGTTTGTGAAGAGTAGGACATGGCTGAATACTTATGAAAAGTACCCCTCAGACATTGCTTTGACTGCAGTAGTGAAGTGGGTTAACCATTTTTAAGAACCTGTGATTCCATGAGATTACAGTTTGCACCATAGCTTAGTGGAGCCTAGTCCAGTCTACTGATTATGATCTTAATTAGTATACAACAGACTGCACTGATGAGTAATACCTTAATTGATCATTTAGATGTTAACAATGGAAATGTATGGGGATATCTGTTGGTGTATATTCCCATGATTTTGGGCGTTTTACTGTACACTACACACAGTTTGTGATTACAAAATGCATGCATTTGTAAAATCCCATGCCTAATGTGTGGTTAGAATGTGACAACATAGTGGGACCTTGTGAAACCAGTGCTAAAACCTTACTCAACATTTTCAAAGTGTCCAAAATAACAATACCACGTGTCTTGAATATCGCGGTATGACTTATTGATAAACATCGGCACATGTCTACTGAGTGGTGTGCAAGACATTATATTAAGCAGCAGATGTTAAAGAAGTCTGTTACACTGGTACCATGTTTCATGGTTAACCTGGTATTCATTGCATCATAAGTATTTTTTCTTTTTACTCTGTGTTTTCCTCATTCCATCACTCTGGTACAGGTTAATATTCATCTAATCTGTTTTGATGTTTTACTCTCGTAAATGTTCTGAGATCATGCTGGCACACTCTTTTCTTTTTGTTCTCTCAATCTTAGATGTCCCAAAGTGTTATTTTGACATACCTAATGTTTTGTCTCTGTCTCTGATTTACTCACATTTTCCATCCTCATGATGGCTATATTACTGACACTTTCTTGGTTCTTATGTTGAGAGGCAACAGCAACCAAGGACATATAGCTGACCTAAGAAACAACCGAGCTGCCAGATGTCCAGTTACTTCCCTAAAAGAAGTGCTTTATGTATTAAAAAGGGCTATAATTCCTGCATGGTTCATCAGATACATTTGAATTAAATCGAATCGAGAGAGATCTACGTAGATGGTTACTAAATGTTACAAGTCGTAGAGCCCTCTTTTGCTTCAATATAGAACCCTTTTTGCAAAAAGTGTGTGGAAAGAGGTTTTAGAGGAAAATGTCTTATTCTCTATGCTCACAACCATTACAGGTTGGCTCGTTACTAAGGAAAAAAGGTGGAAGAAAAGCATACTTCTCATACTAATGTAGCTGGATGTTCACCACAGCCCTTGTGAGCTTATGTGGAGCTGAATGACTCCAAGGATCACGAGGCAGCCTGCTCTGCTCCAGTAATGGCTTATGCTTTTGTTCTAAAGAGGAAGTAAAGCTGAGGATCCACAGCTCTCATGAGTGCGCAGCCGCAGAATGCACTGACCAGACTGTGGAGCTGGCAGCAGGCCCATCGCTCTTGATTAGGAGTCTTTTACAGATGGTATGCTGAGAATGTTGTCCTGTTATGAGGCTGAGCGTTCAGAACTGCCTGTGTGGCCAAGACACATAGCAGACTGTTTAAAAAGACAGTACAGACAATGCAAAGAGATCGCCCTTGAATGAGCTCACTTGACCCACTGCTTACTCTTACATGTTTATTAACTCAGCTAGAGCAAACCAATGTTTGCCTGAGCAATTTAGGAGGTTTAGGGTTGACATGGTGAACAGTTTTTCATTTGTTGCTTGATTTGTAACCATAAAGGGCATAGAAGCTTTTCTTTTAGAGCTGACTGGGGAAAAAATAGAAGAAAAAAACAATACTTTTTTTTTTACTTTTTATTGCTTTTATGTATCAGTTAAGAATCCCCTCAATGCAAAAGGTATTCCTTATCAGCGTATTGGTGGATATGAATTTGCAGCTGTTGATTGCATGACCTGTTGTTGATGTATGACATCCAAGGAAGGCTTTCCCGTGTTGCTGTTTCAGACAGCCATCCTTACTAAACTGTGCAGTTCAAAGGAGGCACTCTGGTGTTTCCCACTTCCGCATAAAAGCTCAAGAACTGCTTGCCTGATTTTCTTGATGCACTAGAACAAACGCAAGCACTTCTGAAGATAAGCTATGATTGACAGGGTGTTCACTAGTTTATTGCTCCTTACAGTTTTTCTTTTATGTTATCAGGATAGTGGAACATAAAGCATTATTTTGTAGTTGTAGGTCACAGTCAAAGCCCTCTTCTTTTCACATCAGCTTCGGTGGATCTTTCATCTCTGCATATCAGAGAGAAAGAGAAACCAGACAGGTTTTCCGCTTTATCAGAGCGAATATTAGTGAAAATATTTACAGCTCGCTGTTCTGCTACAGTCTCGTTCCATCTGCGATGGGTCTCATTAGCCAGCTGTTTGCTTAAGCTAGTTTAGCTAAAGGAGGTTTTTTTGACTGCGCTGTGCATGGCCGTCTTCTCTTCTGGTTGGCGCAGGAAATGTGGTGAGGGAGTAGGAGTGGGAGCAGACAGGAGTTCTGCACACTTTCCTTGTCTATTCCTTCTCTACTTTCGTGCCAGGCAGTTTGAGAAAAAGCTGGGCATGGAGGGTGGAAGCATAGCAAAGAGATTAGGGCTCTGTGGAGGGGCTTTTCTAACCTCCCTCTTATTCTCCATTAGCTTCAGTGAACTAGGGGTCTTATAAATATCCCAGAGCAAATGTAATTACTGTGAATGGAGGAGGAGAAGGGGTGCTGTGAGCTGGGCATTGGGGAGAAATGGGTAAAGATAAGAACTTGCCATGTCTTTTCAGCTTGACCTCAATGGTAATGTCTTATGCAACCTTACCACTGCTCTTTAGTTAAGATGCAGTTTGACCCAGGAGTTTGTTGTCCTCATAAAAGCAGAAGCCTCCAGCAGAACTTCTGGTTATTTGCATGCTTGTTTATAGCTGCAAATTTCTGTTCACTGACTACACTCATATCTCTCCAATCTCATATTGCTCCACATGCATCTTTGCAATCTCACATCCCTCCAAAGTAAAACCTCAGATTTTGTAATGTGATAAGAGCAGATCTGCTTGCTTGGTAAATGGAGATTAGAGAGATTCTGACAGTGGGACCATGGAGATGACTGCTACAGACTGGACTGACAGAGAGAAGAGATGTCAGTAAAAAGCTTCTGTTCCAAACTGAGAGAGAGCATGCAGTGAAGTGGATAAGAGCACAATGGGAATTGTGCAATGACATATCAGAAGGTTATTTTTCCCCAAAGTAATTAATATTGTTGTTATTATTGTTGTTATTATTATTATTATTATTATTATTATTACTGTCTTTCAACAGCAGTATAACAGTATCTCACTAGTTCTAGGCAGCCAGCTCTTAAATAGCATTTATATATGTGAAGGAAAGCACTGCTAGCTAGCGCCCTTGTGACTAGCTAGCTAGGTAGCAAGATAAGTTAACTAACTGACATTAGCACATTGTCATTATATGTTGAAGCAACACTGTACAGAAGTAACCTAAAGTAGATAAGTCAGCAGTGAGGGAGTCAAGCCTAAGCCAGTGTCAGCGGTTAAAAAATTATGTAGTCCACTGTAGGGGTGTTTGAAAATGTATTACATGAGACTTTCTGAAGAAAGAAGAAAGCTGGGAAAATGTATTGTTGCTGTTCAAATAACCTCCCACCTCCAAAGTGACTTTACAGGAAAAGGAAAAACATCCTTAACTTTTAATAAACGTTAATGGAACAAGATCTTTTTCTCAGTCATTCTGAACAGTTTCATTTGATCCATTCTTCATGAAATTTAGAAACAATTCAAGGGCCAACTGGCATTTTCCAATCATGTGGAGAAATAATGGTTTTGTTTGGACTGCGAAAATATTTTACTGTTCACTAAAAAATTATTTCCTACATCAGCTTTTTAAGATTCTCCTCAACCTTTTTATCTTCACTTCTCTGGGGTGTTTGAAGCTTAATTAGGATGGTCAGAACTCCCTTTGATTTGATAGTGAAGAAGAGTCGGGATCGGTTGGATCTGACACAGCTCTGGTGCCTGAAAGGTCTTCTTACCCGTGAACCATAAGTGCAGACCTGAGCGATTGACCTGCTTAGAAGCCTAATCCTCAGGCTTGCCTGAGGTCACCTCACTTCAGTGTTAATCCCTCTGACCCTCGCAGGTGCACGCCTGCCTTCTGCAAGTGTCAGTCTTCTCACTGTGCTGATTAACCGCTGCTCTTAGCTGAGGAGGAAAGACATCTGTCCTAAGCAGCGTTACTATCCAGGAAGAGACGTGATTGCTTTATTACAAGAAGAGCAGAGCTGTCTGATCTCAGTGATGATGGTGTAATCATACTTCGAATATGTAGAATTTGAAGCAGATTGTCCTCAAACATGCACTATTCCCAGATGTATCCTGACACCCCTTCTAAATTAGGAAATTCGGTCTAAGAGCATAAGGTCACCATGCCCAATGCCAGACATAGGCTAGAGGTGTATGAAGCACTGGGCTGTTGAGCAGTGGAACTGTGTAGGAAGTTGGAGGAATGGAGCTC